GCATGCATGACAGGGCAACGCACTGTTTTAAACTCAGCTTTGCTCACCACGTGATAACAGCGAAAATCCTCGTCGTTTGTATTGGGGGACGGTCTCGTAACACGTGGGCTCCACGATGTCGTCATTTCCTCAATAAAGTCAAGATAATCGCCAACGATGATTGAGTGCGAGTGTTTGGCGACAGGCAGATCGTGGGAGCACCAACACATAGATAACATGTGCACTACCGATCACTGAGTCAAGCGATACTCGGCTCAAAGCTCCCGAGTCAAGGGCAACGTAATCTGATAAGAACATTTTACCTAATAAACACTAATGAGAGCTATCATGATCGTAAAAACGCTTAATAGATCAAGAAATATCCTCGGTATTTATATTTCTGCCTGACCTGGCCTAGATGAATGTCAATTTTTTATAATTTTTACAAAGGGAAGACATTATAATCGTGGCCCGGTATTGGAATAACTCCACGTGACTGCGTTAACGTAAAAATTAAGCGCCGAACTTGCAATAAATTCCAACAGATTTTCTCTTGTAGCGAAAGTCACGGCTAAAATTAAGATTGTAACATTAATATTCACATCAGTTTTCAGAGTAAATGTAGGACGCACGACGCAGTATTAGATATAAGAACCTATAACATGATGGAATAAACAAAACAATCTCAACTATATAAGTAAAACTTGCACGTTTGTGTAAAAATTCACGTGTTGCTGCATGAAAACTAGGTAGCAAATACAGCGAATGCCTGTTTGCATAGAAACGACCGAGTTGATGAGTTCCGTTTAGGATTCCACCCTGGGCAGCACGAATCTTGTACGCCAAATTCACCGCAAATCAGGGTTGTTGTCTAGCATCCTACATAGCCTAATTGGAGAATTTTGACCTTTGAAATTCATTGGCCGGCAAATGGCCTTTAATTTATCAACATTTTTGAGTGTGTAAAATAAAGAAAAATTGCACCGTTGCACCGAAAATTCCCAATTTTTCAATAAATATTGAAACATTAATTGTCTGAAGAAGGCTGAAGTATTTCAAATGTCATCGAATTGTAGACAATTAATTAGACGTTACAATCCTAACCATGCGCATATTGCATATTCTAGTATCGGGAAAAGAATTTTCAGCGCTTGGAGTTTAGATGAAAATTAGAATGTGCTTCAAAATATGCTCAATAGACCACTGAAATGACAATGAATGTAGTGAACATTTGCATATTCATGAGCAAAATGCCCAAGTTTGTACTGTCTCGTCTTTTACTATTGATTTTCTTCATTTTCGATCAATTTTATTCTATTTCATGTAAAAAACTTTAGACAATTTCACTTATTCCAAACAATTAAATTACTACTGAAACTCAAATGAGATAAAAGTTTAGGGCACAGGAATAACCGTTGCAACACTGACCTTATCTCTGACTCTCGAGTTGCAAATATTTATAGTACCTGGATAATAATTATCGTACTTCATTGCAGTGATGAGGAAAAGATCGGTCAATGACCCTACTGAGCGAGCAGCAATGCAGCAGGAAATACAGTATATCCGCATTACCTATTCCTGCATTCATGTTGCAACCTAAACCCCGTGAAATAGCAGGATAAAAGTAATTAAATTTAAAAGTTGTTTGAAAATACGAAACGCCTAACAAACTTGCCTAACATCCACAATTACCCTACTAACTATAAAGTCGAATACACACCACCATTTTTGGAAGGAAAGATCATAAGATGCAAGTATTTGCATGAGATTAGAGATTTACGAATTGAATACTATGACGATTCGGGGGTAACGGATGTCCAAAAAGTTACAAGTTCTGCTACAACCAGGTTAGGATAAATCACGACGAGCGTCTACAACCTAAATGCTTCTTCAATAAATCATTTTCTTAGGATAAGTCGACATGGACAGGAGTAACTCGCTCGACGGATCGGATTAAGCCGGACTTGTCTTTCAGTTGCGACGCAAACGTGACGTCAATGTGTCGGCCGAAATATACGCGCGGAACGGCGGCGGGGAAAAGAAAACGTCTTTCATTAAATTGCCACTCATAAAAATTATCATTATTTAACTACTCCTACTAATGCACCATATAAATGTGAATGGTAGGTGCTAGCTATAAATATTCAACATAACATACAGAGTATTGATTTATTTGCCGAGATAACTTGCAGCGATTTAAAGAGACCTTTCCTGTCATCGTGAACTGTCTGCGGGCAACGATGCGCTGAACTTCAAACTCTGCACGGCTATTCAAACGCGTTCATCTTCATGGCCGGCGGTAAAATTTTACCAATACAGGCAATAGCTAATGACGTTAACACACAATGATTAATATCCCTTATTTGCTAGATCAAATTTATGTTATATGGAATTTTCATTAAAAAGCTTGAAAATATCAAATGGTGAATCAAAAGTGCTACCACATGAGGAGTGTAATCAACAAATTTAGTACGCATCCTAATACTGTATAAAATCAGTCATCGGTATATGTATTCAGTAATCGGTATTCGGAATATGAATAGTATGAATGCTATGAATATCCTATCTTTTAATAGACTAGACGTCTCCATCACAATATGAATGAGCGAAAGTTATTGGAGCACCAAAGAAAATGAACCGGTCGAACCAAACTGAGAAGCTGCATAAACTAATAAGACGAAACATTGTTAATGAAACACGTCATGGCAGAAAGAATGGAAAAAGATCCACTTACCTTCGTATTAGTGTTGGGCATCTTGTCAAGAGATGGCAGAGACGCCAGAAAAGTAGGTAGCTTCGGATGCAGGAGATCGTTCTGCTCGGCTTTGCAGACGACTCTCAGTGCTCCGCTGCAGGCGATAACATTTTCCGAAGAATATTCAACAAAAGAATAATACTCACCGTTCGTAGCTTCTCCGAAGGCAAAGATCTGTAGAATGCGACTCTTTTATAGTATTAACACAAACACTTGCGAAATTAAAATTATCAAGACGAATTTAACGCATTAACGTGCAAGCAAACACAGCAAAATTTCACCACGACCACCATCACCAGCCCCACAACACCATGTCAGATGCAAGACTGAGCCGCGCTGACGTTTGCAACGGTTTTGACCACGTGACAGTCGACAACGTTCTCGATGGCTGGTAAGAGCATGGTTGAATCCGAAATGAAACGGCAAATTATAAACTATACTAATAAAGTTATTTATTTTTAACAGGGGGGATTTTCCATCTCTTACGGCGTTACAATTGTTGTCAGCGATCCTTTGTAGTGGGTTTAGCTAAATTTTAAGAACGTGCTTCAACAAATTTCTAAGCTAGCAAATAAGTGGCAGTTGAGTTATAACTACAATATTGTGCAAATTAGTTAGGACAGTGGTTGAAATAACACAGTTATTTTCCCCATTGAAGTTTTATTAAGAATCATAACAATGGTACAAAATATGATATAATTAATAGGAGATATGACCTCCTTTTGCTTTTACAAGCATTTTGAACACAATTTGACATGGATTCAACCAATGTTGAACACATTTTAGTCACTTGCTCATCATGATACCATCAATCCCATTGAAAACGTATATGCTATACTCAAACAAAAACTCCTGAAAGGAGACTGCTCGACAATGGCAAAGCTAATTTGTGCTGTAATTAGGACCTGGTATCATGATGAGCAAGTGACTAAAATGTGTTCAACATTGGTTGAATCCATGCCAAATTGGGTTCAAATGCTTGTAAAAGCTCAAGTAGGTCATATTTTCAATTAATTATATCATTTTTTGTACCATTGGCATGTTTTTTTAAATAAAACTTCAATGTGGCAAATAATTGTTATATCAACCACTGTCCGAATTTGCACAATACTGTAACACAAATAAGACCTCATTAAGAGGAACAGACGTAATTTATCGTGTCGTGATTATTTAAATTATTCTTAGTATAATCATAGTTATTTTAAAATCATTTTCGTTTATCATGCCATTATCATTTATCTAGCCTATAATCAATCGCATTCTTATAACTGCGTTGGTGGACACTTAAGTTATTTTAAATGTCCATATTTTCTATGTCCATCTCGATCGATGTCATAAAATTGACTATAACATCAAACGTTGCATATTTGAAACTGCATCGAATCGAGTGATATTTCGATCTATATGAGAAAACGAAACTGTATTACATTTTTCGGATCGATCAAAAGAAGGTATACAATTACTTTGTATATCAATTACTTTGTGGATCGCGAAACGAACGCAATGCAATTCCGTAAGACTGTTCATGCGATGTAACATGTGCCGTTTTTATTACCACGTTTTTCTTAGCTCGCTTTCGTGTCTGTGATGATCAAATCTTGCAATCGATATTTCACCAACTTTCCCATTAGCTAGCGCTCTGAAACTTTTAGGGAAGCTCAGCTCCCGATAACAATACAATAATCAATAATTTGTTGCACGTTTCCTGGCGTATAAACTCTAAAGGAACTCACAAGCAGGGGTTGGAACCTTTAATGCACGCCATCCTCGAGAGGATATTCGTGTTTAGACTGCGTATATCGATGATACGCTTCGCCCCACGTTTTTCGTTTTAGATGTTGTAAAAAATTTTAACTGAAATACAAAAGACCAAGAGAATGAAAGCAAACAGAGATCAGTAGCTGCCGAAAAATTATTTTCTACTTTTGAGTCCACATGAAAAACGTGGTCTTTAAAAATTTTTTTTTATACATTTTATTTCAAGTATTACAGGTACAATTACTGAATGACTTACGAACGCTTTTATATGTATTAAGTATCCGAGATTTTTTGGTCGTTTCGATCGCGTAAATGCGGTACCTACGGCTACAAATATTGCATGGAATTTTCATAGAAATTTCATATGAAACGCAATAAATTTTCGTACCTACATTGTGGCCCGTTGGAGAGTAGGATTGCAAAAATAGTCAATCCGATTTTTATTTTAGTAAGTTCAGCGTCAACAGGAAAATAATAAACTAACTCTAACTGTAAACTGTAACTAAAATAACTTTATTTAAAAATATTAAAAGTCGGTTTCTTATGATTTCGGAGATGGGATTCAAATGGAAGTTTTATGCTCAAATATGGCGTGAATAGGGATTCTATATTCAACACTAATTTAGTCCGAGAATTACTAACCAATTATTTGAAAAAGGATTAGAGAGAACAAGATTTTCAAATCTCAGGGACTATATTTACCATGAACAGCATCATCTGTTATTATCTTAGAAAATTATAATATGCACGGCTATAAAATAGTCACTTCATTGCTAGTGAAACTCGATTAGTACATATTCATGTTTGTACTGCAGTTAAGGGTAAATTTGAAAGACTTTTGAGAAATTAAAATCAAAAAGTTTGCCGGTACTTAATTGTGGCCCAGTGCTCCATTACATATATGAACAGGTTTATAGTATAGTATTGAATGGGTATAAATCTACCACTTATACATTTATTTTGTTCGTTGGATCATGCATTACCGAAAAGTTTGAGGTTTGGGAAGCATCTACTTCGAACAATCTCTCATGAATGTTTTTTTCCTATTATAGCTGAAATGACAAAGATGCAAAGAATGGGCTAAAGAAATTCACACATTTTAAAATGATTAATCACTCACGCCTTAATTAAGCTAGAAAACAATCAACGAAGTTTGACGTCGATAATGAGTTTATTAACATGTTACGTGATTAAGTTGAATTTCCAGCCAAATTTTTGACAGTCGAACGTTGGCCATTCAAATGCCATTGGCAGCCTGTCAATATTTTGAGCAGGAAAGATGAGAATACAAAATGTGAACGTAATTTGAGCAGCGTTGTAACAGATATTTGGCAGTTTGTCGAACACATTGAAGTTGTTTGATCAACAATGAATATTATCTGGCAAACGGATTCTAACACATATATGGAAATGAACCTCAATAAGCAGAAACTTCACAATATTTCTCTGGGTGAGATATTAATTGAGCTATCAGCAAAAAAGAGGAACCAAAACAGGCTTAATGCAGCTCTATGCGCTTCTTACGATATTGTATCAGTTTATATTGCACTATATTTTTATTACAAAATGGTGATAGTCCTTGCAGCTTATGAGCGCATCGAAAAGAAAGATTATTATTTTACACAAGATTTTCTTACTCGACCAATTGAGCTTTTGTGCAAATAGCTTTTTAGAAAGTTACTGCATCAGCAAAAATGTTTAGTAAGTTATCACTTAATCTGAAGTTCAGCGATGATTCTGTCTTTTTCGATGAGTTTTTCTCTCATTTTCTCGACCAAAGCAGTCAGCAATATGGTTGGGGCCTGAGAGGCCTGCTTTTTGTACGAATTGCACTGCTGCCTCAACTCTTCTATTTGTTTCATGTAGCTACTGGTCTCATTCATGGCTTGTTTGAGTTCCTGCTCATGCTGCTGGGATTTCTTCTTGCAAGAAACTTCTTGTTTGTCAAGTTCGTGTTTGAAACGTGCCTGCTCTTTCGACAACTTCGCATTAATAGATTCAAGCTTCGATTCAGCATCTGCCTTCTCGATTCTTGTTGTTGAGAGTTGCTTTTCTAAGAGACGAACCGTTTCTGTCATCGCTTGAATTTGGTCAATGAATTGTTGGTGGTGGAAACTCCCATCTTCACGACTCGGAATGGAATCCAAATACAACTGAAGGTCTTTGATTCGTCGTAGAGCTGCATCCCTCTCCTTGGTTACATAGCCAAGCTCTTGTTTGTACTTGTTCGTCTCATCCCGATGTTCTTCACTCATTTTCTCTATAAAGTCCTGATAGCGCTTCACTATCTGGTTGCTGTTTTCGATTGTAATTTCTTCTCTAATTGGAATTTGCGGTTCACGCTCTGCGAACTCAATCCTGTTGAAGGCTGCTGGAGCTGAGTCGTCGACTTGCAATGTGAGTGCAAGTTCATTAGGTGATGTCTTGTATAGACTCATCTCACTTTTTACTTTGTTGATAAATTGTTCTTTGGAAATCAAAGTAAGTTCTTTTTCCCTTATCGTTCTCTGAAGGTTTTCATTCAATGCCCTTTGTTTTTCAAGGTCTGTTATAGCCTGTCCCAAAACTTCATCATTTTGAGCGATGTATCGAGCTATTCGGGAATCTTCATCGTCCGATTGCGATTCGATCGTCTGGATGGCGATCGTCGCCACGTCGGTTTCTAACTTAGTAACCCCGTTTCTTTCCTCGTCCCCGACTGCCGAACTGCATGTGACATTTGCAGTCAAATTTTCGATTATTTCTCTCAGCTGAGCTTCTTTTGCTACAGCTGACAATTTCAACTCAGTGTTTTCTTTCGACAAGAGTTCGAGTTTTTCCTTTAGTTCAATGTTAGTTAACTGTTGTTTCTGAAAGCTATGGCACCACATGGATACATTTTGTTCAGATTGTTCGTTGGAATGAATTTCTTTAATTTGATCAATGTGCTTCATGTTAGCCTGCAGTTGCCGCAACATTACTTGAGCGTCGAACTGCAAATTACGTGCAGCAGTGAGGGCTTCATGGGCTGCTCTACGCTCATCCAGGAGCTGGTTTAGCAGATGGGCTAAAACGCTTAGAAGTGCAGGAGTTGTGGTGTCGTCTGTTGTCAGCTTCAACCTGCATTTGAAAAGAAGTTTGCTCATATTTAGGTAAGTTCATCCATCTATAATGCTCTTGACAATTAACGTCAACTTTCCCCAACACATTTACTCATAGTGTCGTGGTATGGAGGAGTCGTGTTAACAGAAAGAAAAAGAATGAGTTAGATTTTGTAATCGTTTTCATAAGTTCAAGTGCAATTTATTTGAATTTTTCTTAATCATTTATTACTTTAAACTCACCTGACGCTTTCGAGAACCTCCAAGACGTGTTGATGTGACCGCTCAGCAGCAACGAAATTGCTCTCGATTCGTGCGCTGATATTGACCGTCGGTTCAACATCGAAGGCCTCGAGCGAGCGCCGTGGCAAGCGGTCACCGCCTACGCTGCGGCTGACAGGTTCAGCGTCGTCGTACCTGCGTTTGGACGCTGCAGGCGGAGTCATGCAGTTGTTCTGCACCTCGTTGTGCTGGTCTTCACTCGCTGACACGTGCGTATCGATTGACACGAATTGCTGGCCTGGATCACAGACAGAGCGGCGTCAGTGGTGGCATTGATCGATGCGAGGGCTACGTACGGTACACTCAGTGAAATGAATGGGTAATGTTGTCCCTATAGTTATACATTATCTTACATAAAGCACGAGCTAAAAGCGGACGTAGCACTGATACGCCTTTTTGGCGAACCAAACTGGTTCGGGATCAATGGCACCCACACACAGGCATGAAGTGCATCGTTATTTGGACAAAGTCTCACTCATTCCTCTGCGTGTAGAAGCTCTCGCTAAATTGAAAACCCTAAGCAAAAAATCATCTAACTGCGGGGCACTGAATAAGTTGATATATTGGCGCAGAGTAAAGATGGCCGAACTTTTTTGGCTATACAAAAATTCCTAAGCCTGTTAATGCGCAATATGTTACGATTAATGTGCTATATGTCACGATTAATGTGCTGTATGTCACGATTAATGTGCTATATGTCACGATTAATGTGCTGTATGTCACGATTAATGTGCTATAATTTACGATTAATGTGCTGCAGGTTACGATTAATGTGCTACATTTCCGATTAATGTGCTATATGTCACGATTAATGTGCTACATGTTGCGATTAATGTCCTACAAGTCACGATTAATGTGCTATATGTCACGATTAATGTGCTACATGTTCCAATTAATGTGCTATATGTCACGATTAATGTCCTGCTGTTACGAATAATGTGCTACATATTCCGATTAATGTGCTTTATATTCCGATTAATGTGCTTTATATTACGATTAATGTGCTACTTGTTGCGATTAATGTGCTGCATGTTACGATTAATGTGCTACATGTTGTGTTAAATGTGCTACATGTTACGATTAATGTGCTACATTTCCGATTAATGTGCTATATGTCACGATTAATGTGCTACATGTTACGATTAATGTGCTACATGTTACGATTAATGTGCTACATGTTACGATTAATGTGCTGCATGTTACGATTAATGTGCTACATCTTGTGTTAAATGAGCTACATGTTACGATTAATGTGCTATATGTCACGATTAATGTGCTACATGTTACGACTAATGTGCTACATGTTACGATTAGTGTGCTACAACTTGCGATTTTTCTTTAATCGTGAGTGCGATTAATGTGCTATATATCACGATTAAAGTGCTATATGTCGCGATTAATGTGCTACATGTCGCGATTAATGAGCTACATGTCGCGATTAATGTGCTACATGTCGCGATTAATGAGCTACATGTCGCGATTAATGTGTTACAGAAGACGATTGATGTGCTACATTTTAGATTATTGTGCTACATGCTAAGATAACGCCAACCTATTTACACTAAGTCGTTCTGCTGATTTTCCGCGATTTTTTTGAGTCTTTCTGACTAAATTTGTTGTACTGTGCAAAGAGATATGATTGCATCCAAGTAAGTCCTCATAATTATTCACCGTAAGCAACAAGATTGAGTTGCCCACTCTCCATGCTAGGATCCTCGCTCTCCGATCGTCCTTCTGTTTCCTGATACAGAGAATAATATTCATACATTAGCAAATAGAGAATTGATAAAAAAGTTTAGCGTATATGATGCACCAACAGATATTCTATGATGTAATTATAGATGAACTATTCGATGGGATAACGTTCAAATGAAAGCATTTAAATTATTATTATGTGATAACTTTGCTAAAACAAACTTTTGAACTTTGACAATAGAAACTTTATAAGTGTACTTATTACCCGATTAAAATTGCCTGATAATGAGGCGTAATCTCTTACGGGTAATCTCTAACTTTCTTGTGGGGGTAATCACTACCTTTCATATTGAGGTAATTACCATCATTTTCATTGGGGCCATCAATATCCATCTTGTGGGAAGTAATCACTATCTTTATTGTGGGAGTAATTACTATCTTTATTGTGGGAGTAATTACTATCTTTATTGTGGGAGTAATCACTATCTTTATTGTGGGAGTAATCACTATCTTTATTGTGGGAGTAATCACTATCTTTATTGTGGGAGTAATCACTATCTTTATTGTGGGAGTAATCACTATCTTTATTGTGGGAGTAATCACTATCTTTATTGTGGGAGTAATCACTATCTTTATTGTGGGAGTAATCACTATCTTTATTGTGGGAGTAATCACTATCTTTATTGTGGGAGTAATCACTATCTTTATTGTGGGAGTAATCACTATCTTTATTGTGGGAGTAATCACTATCTTTATTGTGGGAGTAATCACTATCTTTATTGTGGGAGTAATCACTATCTTTATTGTGGGAGTAATCACTATCTTTATTGTGGGAGTAATCACTATCTTTATTGTGGGAGTAATCACTATCTTTATTGTGGGAGTAATCACTATCTTTATTGTGGGAGTAATCACTATCTTTATTGTGGGAGTAATCACTATCTTTATTGTGGGAGTAATCACTATCTTTATTGTGGGAGTAATCACTATCTTTATTGTGGGAGTAATCACTATCTTTATTGTGGGAGTAATCACTATCTTTATTGTGGGAGTAATCACTATCTTTATTGTGGGAGTAATCACTATCTTTATTGTGGGAGTAATCACTATCTTTATTGTGGGAGTAATCACTATCTTTATTGTGGGAGTAATCACTATCTTTATTGTGGGAGTAATCACTATCTTTATTGTGGGAGTAATCACTATCTTTATTGTGGGAGTAATCACTNGAGCACACGAGTTATCCGTGCAGTTATTAGAGCAGTTGTTACTGGAGCACATGTTAATGTTCTTTCTGGAGCACACGAGTTATCCGTGCAGTTATTATAGCAGTTGTTATACTGGAGCACATGTTAATGTACACTCTGTAATGAAGCACATGTCTTCCTGTAGCACATGTTAAGGTATTAATGTACTTTCTAGAGCACATGAGTTATCCGTGTACTTATCATTGCAGTTGTTACTGTAGAAGCTATCATCTAATATGTAATTGGTATAAATTGTCAATTTTTTGTTATAGTGACGGTATTTGTTTGCGTAAAGTATCCTCAAAAGTAAATTGCCCCCCAATTTCTTAAGCAAATGGCAATAAAATCTTTCTTATTTAAGTTAATAATTATTAATTAAATCATCAATTAACATAACAATTGACGCATGAAAATATGCAATTTGATCTTCAAAAATCCTAGAGGAATGGTTAAAAGAAATTCAGAATGTGTTCTCACAGAATAAAGTTTATCAAACTGCTTCTGAAGTTTAGCGATGATTTTCCTGGCGTCTTGAACAGTTTGTTCCCCCAGTCCTGAGCTCCGGCCTGACCGATCTCCCGCAATCTTAGACCTAAAATTAAAAGAAATGTCATAACAAAATTAAGTTAAATATAAAATTGAATGCATTACATGGATGAGAAGAACTTCTAAGAATTTAAAATCCAAAAAAAAAATTAAATTACAAATAATAAAAAAATGTCTCAGGAAAGTCAAGTAAATTTAGAATTATATGCATCATACAGATGAGAAGAATTACTACCACGGATGCGTTAATTTTCGAGTCAAATTAGATATGAGTAGGGAAGAAGTAAAACTTTGAAAAAATCTAAATAGAATTGTTTATTACATCCCTCTCTCTATTTTACGTGTCGCAGCTTCATTCTACAAATGAAGGAAGGTTAACTTTTCAAGTGAACTCGTTGGGTGAAGAGCTTCAATTATTTTGTTCATCTATAACAGTATAGTTTTCATATGATTGAAGCCATAAAAATGACCAAATCTCTTGTTTTTATCAACTCGAATCATTGCTCATAATGAATATAATTTCGATAAAATGTAAAAAATCAATACAATTCAAAACTAACAGAACTGTCATAACAAAACATGCAAATTGGTTTTCACATCCTCAAAATGACGAAATATTTAGTAAAAGTAAGCATTATTTAGGCAAGGTTTACTCACGTTGTCCCCAGCGCTTCTCTCAGCTCTCCTGCAAGCTGTCCCAACGCCTGCCGCATCAGCTGAAGCTCCTCAGACACCTCTTTGTTCAGGCCTCCTACAGGGAATAATCATTCATCTATTCATTAATAACTACAGTTAATGTAAGAAAATAATTGTTGAAAATAGAGTAATACATTTAAAATTAATACTTATAGCAATAAAATACTTGAATGAATCACCCGGTGAAATAAAAAATCGTTCAACTGTTGAGCCTTCGTAAGCTAATAACTTTTGAAAGAAAAACCTGGCTTCGTGTTCTAAGCCAAGCCCATTAAGATAAAAAATCACAGACTGATGTCTTCAATAATGCATTAGAAACTGTTTACTTTCATTTATTTACTTTTATTTATTATTTGCTTTTATTTATTTACCATACACTCATTTGGAAAAAATAATATAATAATAAGTAATGCTTGTGGTGTTTTTGCTACTCACGAAACCACGATTTCGTGCGCATTTATTTGGGTTCCATAAAAATGTCATCGTAACGGAAGGAGCAGGCAAATTCACCGATATCTTATAATCAAAGAGTAATTCTTTTTAATGTCCTAGATTAAGATTTTTCATGGCTACGATGACAAGAAATTTTTCGACTGTAACGGTAATCAATGGCAACGAAAATAAACAGTGCACAAATTATGCTAAAAGATGCCTGTAGATGCTGAACTGACCAGCAGATAATACGCCTACTGAATAATATAACCTGCTCATAATACGCTTAATTAATGAACTGATTTGCAGATAATACGCCTACTGAATTAATCTACAGATAAGGGGCCAAACCTACTGAACTGACCTACAGTTGATACTCAACGAACTGACCTGTAGTTAATACTCAACGAACTGACCTGTAGTTAATACTCAATGAACTGACCTGCAGTTGATACTCAATGAACTGACCTGCAGTTGATACTCAATGAACTGACCTGCAGTTAATACTCAACGAACTGACCTGCACTTAATACTCAACGAACTGACCTGCAGTTAATACTCAACGAACTGACCTGCAGTTAATACTCAGTGAACTGACCTGCAGTTAATACTCAACGAACTGACCTACAGTTGATACTCAACGAACTGACCTGCAGTTAATACTCAGTGAACTGACCTGTAGTTAATACTCAGTGAACTGACCTGCAGTTAATACTCAACGAACGGACTGACCTGTAAGGCACGATAAAGCCTCCTGTACAGGCAGGTCGAGCGCCGTGAGCTGCACCGCGTGCCGCGTGTTCGCCAGCTCCCGCGTGAGTGCGTAGACCTGTAGGAGGGCGGGACTGGTGGTGATGACATTGATAGGAAACAGGGACCATGTTATAAAAAATAGTTACTTTTGTACTTCTTTTCATATATTAGACTAAATATTATAAATTTTCTGACTTTCTAATAAGTTACTCTTAAAATTCTGCTATGAGTGACACTCTTCGGTGAAAGTATTCACACTTACGTGGCACACCTCATTAATATTAAGACATTAGTGCGTGTTGCCAATAAACAAGAGTCATTCGGTGACTCGCGCCCCTAGTTGCCATGATCACAGTTCTCAATGAAGTACGTCAATAATACTACATCAGTTACGGTAGAGTTACCATTAAAGAATAGCATTTCAGAGACTAGCATCTCAAATCACGTCGACCACCTCACCATTCCACAGTGACATATGTCAATAAAATTACTCCAATTTGAAGAGTATCCATTAAACTAAAGTCCTACAGATATGAGCACCAAAGTCACCTCGATCACCTCACTCTTGAGTGACATACGTCAATAACATTACTCCAGTGTCAAGAGTATCCATTAAACTAAAGTCCTACAGAGATGAGCACCAAAGTCAAGATGATGACCTCAGTCTTGAGTGATATAGGTAAATAGCATTACTCCAATTTGAAGAGTATCCATTAAAATAAAATCCTCCAGAGATGAACACCAAAGTCACAATGATGACCTCAGTCTTGAGTGATATACGTCAATACCATAACTCCAGTTTGAGGAGTATCCATTCAACTAAAATCCTACAGAGATGAGCGCCCAAGTCATAAGGATGACATCAGTCTAGAGTGATATACGTCAATAACATTACTCCAGTGTCAAGAGTATCCATTAAACTAAAGTCCTACAGTCATACAGTGCGCATACAGTGCACCAAAGTCACGAAGATGACCTCAGTTTTGAGTGATAGCTTCTCCTCCTCGAGCGCCCTGACGCGGCGGGTGAGAGATGTGATGAGTTTCTTGCGTCTCTGTCGCTGGCTGGCCACCCCCGCCGGCAGCTCCTGCTCCGCGCGCGGCTCTAGCTTCAGACGCGACCTGCCTCCGACACCGGGTAGAATTATTTATTAATATAATAATAATAATAATAATAATAATAATAATATAATGATAGTAATAATAATAATAATAAGAATACTAATAGAGGTCTCAGCATAGAAGATTAAGCCAGTTGCCGATTCTGAATGTTTCACAGCTTGCTGAGGGTTTTGAACACGCAGCCTAATGCTCCTGCTAGTAACCACTCTGTGCCCGATCACTTCTCCGATTTGACCAAAACTGTCACAGGTAGCTGGGATCGAACCGCAACTCACTGCTCCAACCAGGTACTCTAAGCTGTACTCTAAATTTAGTCTTGGGTCTAATGAATCGTTTCAATTTTTCAAGTTTGTTAAATCTCGAGGGTGGCTGCTTCTTGTAGAATTTACTACAATATATAATATTATTAGGTATAACATAATTTACTCATATAAATTGTTCTCCAATAATGGTGTAGGTTGTTGGAGGGCATCGCTTGTTAGGTTTTTTACATTAAGTTATACGAAGAAAAACTTTTTAAACATATAGAGCACACACTGTTGATGAACTGACTACCTTTTTAATATTTATAATTCTCTGACTAATGTCACAGATTTTTAATTAATTGATCCACATTTTGTAGAGCAAAAGAGTAACAATGCACAACCAAAACAGTTAGTAAGAGCTAGCTATTAAGATTGGAGCGTACCCACGTATAAAATTAGTTGTTCTGACCTCAAAAGCTCGTTTTCTTCAGCGACTTCATCCTCTCTGATCTGGAGGGCATTTGTGAGGGCGGTGAGCTCAGCGACCTGAGACTCCCGCTGAGCGAGCTGACTCCTGCACTCCTTCAGCTCCCTCAGCGCCTCGGCGAACGAATATTCACCGCTCATGTACGACCGCAGGTTCTCCGTCACCGACGCCAACTGCCACAACAATTCAGGGACTCAGCATGTTCAAAATAGATTATTACGCGTGTCTGAAACGCCCTCTATTTAAATGTATTGACACTCTCGACCCTGCCTCACATGACACTCTCAACTCTGCCTCACATGACATTCTCGACCCTGCCTCACATAACATTCTCAACTCTGCCTCACATGACACTCTCAACTCTGCCTCACATGACACTCTCAACTCTGCCTCACAAGACACTCTCAACTCTGCCTAACATGACACTCTCAACTCTGCCTCACATGACACTCTCAAGTCGGCCTCACATGACACTCTCAAGTCGGCCTCACATGCGCACTCTTCTCCTACTCCTACTTAAGCACGGTCAAAAATGGCAGCGATTGATTTTCAAACAAAAGGCTGTCTGGCAGACTGAAATTGTTTTCGAGCTCTGGAATTTTTTAAAGCACTCTCACCATCTCTCAATCGGCTGAGTGCAGGGCGACTGAGAATATTTCTTTGCTATTGGAAAATTTACCAAAGCGGAGCGAACTTATTCGGACACACAGATAATAGGCCAATATAAGTAAAAATGACCCCGCACTTTAATAACACATGGAATTTTACGGAATGAAATCTAAATTCTGACATTCTTCGTTTTATCACCACGCGGCCCATTATATAATCAATTCCAAGGAAAGCGGAGACAAGAAATTATTTAAGCAGGATTACGCATCATATTTTTTCAAAAAAATGTTTGCAAATCAGAAAAAATTCATGTAAAAATTTTCAATCGCTTATTAATTTGTACGATTATTAAACATGTGTTGAGAAATGAAAAATAATCATGATGTCTAGCAGATTAATTGTGTGAAAAAATGATAATCGTGCAAAAAATGAACGTGAATATTGACCTGTTTTGCGTGCATCTGAGCGTCGTCTTCAGCTGATACCAGCTGCTGCCGCAGACGCGCGTTCAGCTGCCGCTCCTGCTGCAGCTGCTTGCGCTGCCGCTGCAGTTGCGTCTTGAGCTCGTCGCTAGCGTTGGTCCTGTACAGGCGAAGACACAGCGGTACTGACGCAAGTATTACCTCGCGTTCTTAAGTATTAAGTATTAAACTTAAGTATGTTGATATCTAAAGAAAGTATTACCCCCGTTGTTTTAAAGAAACATTACCCCCCCCCACTAAGTGCGTGACCCACTAAGCGCATAACCCACTAAGTGCGTGACCCACTAAGCACGTGACCCACTGAGCGGTTGCCCTGAGAGAGGCGATGACTTCAGTAGTTGCGTCCATCTCTTCGCTGGCTTCCCGCAACTTGGACGTCAATTTCGAGATCTCGAGATTTTTTTCATCCATTTCCTGCCGACGAGAAATCGTTAGGTAATCACAAGTGGAGAAAAAATTCATCAAGTCGGTTATGGGTTCAGTCGAAAAATTCATATCCAATCCAGTCTGTGGCTCCACACATCATGCCGAAAAATTCTTTAAATGAATTTGAATCTGCCTGATTTATCAAATTTTTGGAATTCAGAAGCAAACAAAATGCAAAGTAAATTGACCATGTCTTTAATGAAAAAGTTTCGGAGACCTGCTTCATCATCAGGTCCAATCCAAAAGTTTCTAGAATGCCGGTAATTTTATTTTATTTTCACGATTGATTGTACTTGCATTGCTTACATTTTTTGGACTGATGATGGAGCTGGTCCCCCAAACATTTTCAACATCAATTACTGTACATTCATGAAGTAACCAACCATCTGGAGCTTCTCGACGAGTTCGTTCTGCCGCTCACTCGAGAACTTCTTCTGCTGGCGGCGCAGGCGCAGGACAGCGTTGCGCTCAGACCTCAGCTCCACTAGCTGCTCCTCCCGCTCCCGCAGCAGCGCCTGCATCAGCAACAACACTCAGAGATATAAGTGGGCAATGCACAACACTCAGAGATATAAATGGGCCACATGGTCCAAATAGTAACTCACCATCACGCTCCCGTAGCAGCGTCTGTATAATAACAGTAATAGTGTAATAGGGACTCGCTTTCTGTCCGTAGCACTGATACGTCTTCTTAACGGGCCAAATTGGGTCAGGGAGATTAATGAAACGGCGAAAAGTGCATCGCTATATGGACAATGTCTTACTTATTTCTATGGGTGAACACAATTTTGAACGCAACTCCGAGTGCGTTGTCATGAAGATGACAGTTACAGTGATGAACAAAATTATTGAATAAAAATAGTGGTTAAAGTACTTTGTATGTCGTCTGGTCGGCCGATTGATTTAGAACGCCAATATTGGAGTATTGATTAGCGGGTTCGAGATTCAGTTAGCTGTAAAAATTGAATCAGTGATGTTTCAGCCTTGGCATGAGGCACTCGCCTGCAGCGTCAGTTCAGTCATCTGCTGCTTGTTGTCAGAGCACTCGCCTGCAGCTTATTGTCAGAGCACTCGCCTGTAGCTTCAGGGCACTCGCCTGCAGCTTATTGTCAGAGCACTCGCCTGTAGCTTCAGGGCACTCGCCTGCAGCTTATTGTCAGAGCTCTCGCCTGCAGCTTCAGGGCACTCGCCAGCATCTTGCTGTCAGAGCACTCACCTGCAACGTCAGGGCACTCGCCTGCACCTTGTTATCAAGGCACTCGCCTGCAGCGTCAGGTCACTCGCCTGCAGCTTGTTATCAAGGCACTCGCCTGCAGCGTCAGGGCACTCGCCTGCAGCTTGCTGTTCCTGTGCTCAGCTGTGGCGCTGAAGGCGAGGTGCTGCTGCTGCAGCTGCAGCGTCTCCTGCTGCGCTGCCTTCAGCGCCTCCCGCAGGTCGTCTTCGCTCTGCTGTACCGACAGCAGCGTCTCTGTACGCGACAAATACTTTCTTAATGTTGGGTATATATTCGATAATTAACCAATTAATAAATAACCGATGTGGGGAAATTCAGGTTAATAAAATGATTTCAATTAGGTTTTTCAGGTGATCAACCGATAACCGCGGCAAATGGACTTTAATCTGAAACAAACTCGAGAAATATGATATATTACCCCGGTGCAGCTTCTGTAATAATTACATACCAATAAGTTCAGTCGTTTCAAAAATAGGTAAATAACCTATAAAAGCCGCAAATGAACTTGGATCTCCAGCAAATCGTTATTTTTATCAATATAAATTTCGATATATCTACTAAATCATTGACGGTAATGGTAATTAGCTTATGAATGGGAAGTTAAAGTAAACTCTTCGTAAAGTTAATATTAAATGGTAAACCACAGAATGATATGTTCATCCAAAGACCAGCAAAAAATGACTTAATGATCACATTCAACTCGGCAACAGTTCAGTTTTGACCGTTCACTAAATACGGCAAGGCAGCTGCACAGACTACTTAGCAGGTGCTGGATGACATCGCTCAGGGCGCTGAATTCAGCTTCTCAAGCTCCACCAGCACTTCCCTCACCTTGCAGGTGTTGGTTGGCGTCATTGAGGGCACTGAAGTCTGCGGCCAGCTCATCCAGCTCAGTCTGCGCCTCCCGCAACTGCGTTTGCAACGTCGACACAGTAGCGCGCAGAACCTGATTGTCTTCCTCCGCTTGCTGGGCAGAGTAAAGTGCCAAGTAAAAGTTGCCATTTAAATAATAAACATACAATCCATTGACATGATTACATATTAATTTACAAGTATGTTTGTAAATTGACAATGTTTTGTTGGAAAGAATGAAAAAATAATGCAAACGTGTGTCAAAAACAGCTGTTATGTTTAAAGCGCCAATATTCGTCAGATGAATTTGTGCAAGCCGAGGTAAGCCACCCAATTAATAGGAATGACATGATATAAATTCAAATCGCAGAACCTTGTGTTTCCAAGCAAATTAATATCCGAATTTTTAAGACATAGGTCGTTAGATTAAGTTTATCAAATTCTTCTATTTAATTTCAGCATGTAACAGTAACCATGTTGTCGTCCATGAGCTGCTGCAGGAGGGCGTTCTTGCGCACGATATCGTCCTCCAGCTGCCGCTTCTTCAGACGCCATTTGTTGGTCCAGTCCTAAGCAGCGAACCACCAAACAATAATAATACATACATCAATAATATACTCATTGATAATGTGTACATTAATTATATAGAGTATAGTGGTATGAGTATAAGGACATGTTGGCTTTTTCTAAAAAACTCGGTCACACCAAGAGAGCTTCATTAAGCTTATTGGAAATTGTTGAAAAAATATCTCCTGAGGTGAATGCTCAATCGTAAGCATTTTGATCCATGACTGGTAAAAAAAATGAATGAATCTAAAGATAATTTATCGTCTTCCTCCAAAAAGTTTGTTCGGCAAGTACGAAGAAACCTAATAACAGGATCTGACACAAATAACGGGTTTATAAGATAAAGTAACGCCCAGTCTTGGACTCATAAATTCCAAATAGTTTTAAGCTAGAAATTATAAATATAAAACAATTTTAATGATATAGAATGCATGTTTCGTTTCTTGCTCCTAATCTGAAATGGTTGCTCTTAAGTTCAATTGAAAGATAAACGTTTATTCATGAAAAATATTAAGATAATATGTATGACAACGAATGAAATCATGTTAAACCACAGGCGTACTCACATATCCTCCACCTTCCTCGGAATCGGAATCACTTGCCATAATTATTCGATTATTAGTAGTTAATCATTAATTAATATTGATTAGTGATCTCTATAATTCCTTGTGAACATATAAAATATGCGAAATGAATGCGAAATTCGGTTCTCATATAGAATTTCTGTCATGGGAAGAAATTACGCAACTCAGTTATTCAGTAAAAATTAAAATCTTGACAAAATACAAAAGTGAAAATATGTTTATGTATTAAATTTATGTATTAATTTGGTCATCACCCGTGGGTAATTAGTTGGATAAGTGTTAGACCTTTTCGTAATTTAAACACGTTTGAACAGATCATAATTTTACAATAGTTCATAGTTAAAAGATGTTATTTAGTTAGTTGATGAATTGATAAATGCGAATTAATTAGACGCATGGCTGAGTAGAAATCATTTGAGCAACTGCAAGGTATATTTGGCCATTTATTTTAGCGCCATCGCAATAAATTTTATTTTTACTTTACGAAATGATTATATTGACTGCATAGATATATATTATATATATCTATAAATATATATAATGCATGAATAATATAATATATACAACCCCATCTATCTAGCTTATCAGACATTTTTTACTTTATTACGCTTTCAATGATCGTGGCGCATCATCTATCACAATGAATCACTTGCTTCTTCGAGTCGACCAATCAAAAAACTCAGGTTATCCAACCCCATTTCATTTAGGTTATAAAATGAGTCAGAATTTCTAAAAAACGATCGCACAACATCGTTCTACACTATCGAACTGTTTACTTTATTCTTCAAATATGTCAACTCTCTACTTGGATCTTCAAATATATCAACTTTGCAAAGTTTAGCGATCACGTACGAGCTGCGCCCAAAAAGCCTCTCCTGATCTCAGTCCACGAGGCTCGCCCGCTCTGCTAAGGCAGAGACGACAACCTGTCGTGTTTGGCTGCGGTCGCTAGGGCAACGTCCATGTCATGTATATTGCAAAACACCGAGACTCATTCTCGTGTTTTTGTAAGATTACTTCGTGTTTTTATGACGTAGTATTTTTCTAAATTCCATGTGTGGTAAGAGAAAACCTTATTCGTGATGCGGTTTCACTGTCAAAATTATTTAAAATTAAATTGATTATGAATTACAGGAATTGGCTTCGAGATAGAGACCAATTTATTTTCTAACAGCATTAAATCAAATCAGTAACGAAAAGATACCGCCGTCTCGAGTGATTTAGAAGCAGGAGCTAAAATTATAGGTTATTTTTCAGATATAATAAAGCAGACATGTTCGCGACTCATTCATTTAATCGACTTAGAACTTTTGAAGCATCAACGCAGAAAAAATTACTTTCCACGATATTTCATATTCCTGGCGCTTGTTCGCTGCTAACCCAATTACGATTAATTCAGTAGGGAAGTTTAAAATTCGGACAATATTGTATGCTGCCCTGTGGATATAATTCAATAGTACAAGTTGAAGCACTTCTTTCGTCCAAAAAACGTATCGAAACCTTACGATGTCGGAATTTTTTGTCCAGAGCGCAAAAATAACACAATACGCGCACATCATCATCCAACGAGCTTTAAAGATCTGCGCATCTGAAAGAGATTTAAATACTGCAATGAGAAATTCCTGAAAATTTTAGTTAAAAATGGGTTTGCTATTAGATCCGTTGACATCAAAATTGTCAAATATCTATGCAACTAAAACATACTCAAAAAACATCACATGGCAAGCGATAATAAGGCAGGTATAACTGCTTCTTTCAAGCTATCGTTCATATAATAACGTTGTGAGCACAACTGATGAAAAATTCCAGCAACTTCACCCGTCATCTCACTTGCCACCTTTGCCTGAAGGTCAGTTTTAAGCCCCCCCCCCCCATCATTGAGACAAGCAATATTCGAAAAACAGGATTTGACAAGACATCGATATTATTTCCTAAGTTACTTTTGAAATTACCTTTTTTAGAATCAAATTTGCCCATTTCTTGTTCTTAGATCTATCAATGAATATATTTTATATTTGGATCATGAATTTTCTTACAATCGAAACGTTATCATTATATACAAAAATTTTCAGAATCCTACTTTTCGATCATTCATCGCCAACAAAAGAGATCGTTTGACTCGCTGAAAAAACGAACCAGTGAATTGCTTATAGCATCAATCCTCTGGTGTTCAATGGAACCTGTGTATAAGAAAAAAAATTGCCACCCTAAAACAATTCTCCAACGTTCAATGCCAATTAGATCAGGGAAATTCCGACCAAAAATCGCCACTCTTCTCCACAGCCCGGATAAAAGATGCATAAATGGCGAAGTAAGAACAGCAACTGTAGTTTAGTTCCATCCATGGTTTTCCTCCATTGAACTCAGTCGTTTGCGTGGCCGACAAGCTATGCACTACTGAGATTCTGAACCCTGCAGGTTGTGCAATTGACTCCCACTCAATGTGACCTTGTTTGGAACTATCTAGATCAATTTGAGAAATATTTGTCAAGATGCACTTCATAAACTGCTTCTTATTTAATTTGAAATGGCAATAACTACCGCGTGATTATACCAGACAACCATAAGATTCGTGATACGGGCTAAACTTCCATATGGGGCGCAGCAGAAGAGACCACAGTCAGTCATGAAACAAATACTGATATTTTAGAGCGAGTGATGAAGTGTGAGTGTTGAAGAGTGTCAACGTAATAAGATAAACTTGTCACTTTCAACGTATTTTTACTCATTCTGAAATCTTCTGTCATGCCGCTACCTGTCAGCTTGGCTTGCAATTGGTGTGCAAGGAAATAGCTTGAAAACACAATTTCCATTCAAACTATAATGGCCACGAAAATAATGAACAAGTTTAGGACGTTTGTCGTGTTGATCCTCGTTCTGCAGAGTTTGAGCGTGTTTTTTCTCATCAGGACTATGCCCGAAGGCTTTCAAACATCCGGAGGAGCTTCTTATCGGGATTTCGAGAGATTGAACTTTCAAAACTACAGTTCATATTCTGAATATGATGAGGAGCTTAGAAGTGTTGGTCAACGTTCTTCGAGGAAAAGAGACAAAGGCTATGAATTAATAAGCGCCGACGAAGAAATATTTTTTCCAGTATTGAGAGGTTACTTCGCAGGGGAAGTTTTATCACACAGCTTGCATATGATTCAGACTCAATCATTGCCGAAAATTGATCTGCTGGAAGAGCTTTTTTTGAGCGAAAGTGACGTCCTGCACTCCAGAAACAGTTTTTCTTTAGTGAACGTAATATCTCCGGTAACCAAACAAAACTACACTTACGTCTCTTTTATTAGTCCTGAGCAAAGAAAAATTTCTGAATATATCTATGAAGACAAAATTTCTACGGATTTACGAAACAAAAAATCTAATGCGTCTTCAAACGCCGATAAGTCTTCTGAAGAGCTAGCTCACGACTTGCTAATGAAACTGACGAAGCCAACGCTGCACTGCAAAAGAATGGTCAAAATGGGCGGTCGATATGCCAGTAAAATGCCCGATGGAGAAAAGTAAGATAAACAATAATTTAAGGAAATGATGTGGTTTATAATCATAGAGGAATAATATTTTATCTCCTTTCTTTCCTGATGAAATAAGTAAGTGCTATCAAATGGTGTGATTTCTTCAGAGATATAAACCCTGTTAATCAAATGAATAAGATACAATGGAAAATGTGTCAAACAACTAAGAGAACTTGCCATAACTTTTCACATCTCCACCAAGGTACATGTGCATGGACCCAGGCAGGATGCTCAATGCCAAGTCCTGCCTTGTTTATTCCTTCGGTGTTGGTTACGATTTCACGTTCGAAAGACTGATGGGCATTTACGGCTGTTATGTTGTGGCGTTCGATGACGACGAGTCACATAGTCAATATCCTAGTCAGCCCTACAACAGGTAACGTTGACAACTTCAAGGAAAGAGGCTTGTATAATTTCTAACATGGCTGCATGAAACGAAGGCACATGGTGCAATAATGTAATACATGTTTTCTTTCAATATGTTTTGACGTTGCTGTGGGTAATTTTTTTCTGCATTGCTAAGTGCTAACATTCTGTATCTAAGTAACGGGAGTACGTATAAACTCCATGTCAGTTTTCATTATAAAAACATCCAGCAGGCACGGTGCGTGCAAGGCGAGCTTTAGTTTGTGGGATAAGTTCATTATAACATTTTTTTCAACTGTTTGGAAAGCGTGATGCGATCTGTTCTCGATCTGACGTACAACGGCTGAGGCTTCAGTCTGGTTTATTGGAATTAAACTTACTAATTTATGAATTGAAACTAAAATTGTACATTTTTTTACCAGGGTAAACTTCATTAGCGTTCGTTTAAGTTCTTCCGGCAAGATTGAGTGGAAGACAGAAGTAAAGGGGAAGAAAGATGGCAGCACTTCCAATTACACTTACGTCTATCGACCTCTCGACAACATCTTGGCCATCACGGGACATTATGATGAAGTTTTGGATTATTTAAAACTTGACGTTGAAGGAAGTGAATGGAGCACTTTTGAAAATTCTATATTCAAGGTAAGGTTCATACATTTAGTTAATCCCGTATCTCCGATTCTATGAATATAATTTCATATAAATCTAACACATCTAAATAAATTCTGTATAAATATATTAAAATAACCCATATTATACATGCATATTCCTATACGTGTCAGTGAAGTGTTTTAACGTTACTAAGAACTCAACGATAGGCGGTCTTCATTCATCTTGCACGCTTCAATGGGACGAACATTTATTAATTAACCATGTGATGTTATTTATTAATAAAATTGTTCTTTTAGAGCGATGTGCTGAACAGGACGCGATATCTGGCGGTTGAGCTCCATTTAATCGCCCTCAATGACGCGGCGAGCGACGACCCGTCCTCGCAGCGAGCTTATATCCTGCGCTACCTTAGGTGACGATATATTAAGGTGACACATTACATATCCGTTTTTAACTTTGTCTATGGTTTTGTAGGCACAGCTAGGAAATATAGAACATATTTCTGTTAAAATTTAATGTTACTACTTCATTAAAAATTAAACTTTACCTGCAGATTCTTCACGGAGCTTGAAAACTTCGGGTTTAAGCTTCTCCACTACGATCCGAATTTCGTCAAACCAACTTTTGTTCATGTCTTCGGCCACCACATCCCAGTGTACGCTGAGCTGGTCTGGTGGAATCCTCGTGTAGCTCAGAACACACTCGCTTCTAAACACTACCTGGAGTCGAATACGATCGAAGAACTCGAATTTATGAATTGATTTTTGCGTCCGCTTTATGTATGGTTAGCTGTATGCGCTATTTTGTAGATATTTATATCACATTCAAGCTTCGCATGCATACTATTTATTCACAAGAGCACTTTGAAATATTTTGGTACAGTTATCTGTATCAACGTGGCAATGAAACTATTAGAGAAGTTCCGTGCGAACAATTGTTGTGTGGAAATGGAACGTTCCCTTGCAGCGAAATGAAGATGAGGCAATGTAACGAACGTTATCTCAACATAACATAGTAATTTCGGCGCTGAAGAGTAGGCCTGATGCGGCCTGTCGCCGATTATTGAACTTTTCGTGACATGTTCACAGAAGATCTAATATCATGTCATTTGACCGGATCTTTTTAAGACTGAAGATAGTTTGAAATAGCTACTAGACTTCCACCGGGTTCGATATGGTGCTAGGCATTTCAAGTTTGAACATATATTTTTCCACAGCTATATCTAGTCTGTTCTTGAACGCTCTCACACTCGGAGCGCAAACGAGGTAATCGGGGAGACTGTTCCACATGTCGGTGATTCGAAGCGAGAAGAAATGTTGTCGCGTGGATGAGCTGCCAAGCAGTTTTTTAGTTTATACCATGCTCGTGCAGGCTCTGCAAACGAACAACAATAAATGCAGACCATTACAGGGGCTACTTCGCAAACATATTGTTACAAGAGCATAAATATGTCCCATGTCGATTCAAATTACCAACCGTTGATTGACAGCAAATCTGACGAGAGTGCATTGTGCGGGATGCATCGAAACCGATTCATCTGAAGTGACCTCACATCGAAATGTACCGATGCATCGAAGGAGCTTGTTCGATACAAATATATGATAGGACTTTAAAATGATATGACCTCAGTCGTGCTATATAAGAGTCGCAGAAGGTTGACGTTTCGTAATCCTATACGCGCTACATATTACCTGTCCCAATGAACTGTAAGTATGAAATAACTTTTCCAAGTGATGCATCATAAAGCGGTCATGAAGGAGCCCAGAGTTCATTTCATCAAAATAAATGGGTTACAAATCATAAATATCGAATCTTTACCTCTGATGTAGGACGTATTATGTATTTAATTGCTGAAAATGCCACTAATAGGATTAGTGAAGTCTTTTTTGATTATAGAATTGTTGACTGGAATTGGTTGCGAGCTGATATCCGGTCGAGATCTTTAGACAGGTCATTCACGTAGCATGAAAGGGTCGCCTGCCGAAGACCACCACTGCCTTGGATGTAATGGACCATCATGATTCCTGCCTTCCGGAACGTAGCCTTCAACACTTCAAGCCGTCCGTATCTAGGCCGTTGGTCGAACCAGTCTTCGGTCGAACGGCCACTTGTCGAAGGACGATAAATTTTGGAACAGAACTATGCAATCCGAAACCTAACCTCAGATGCGGTGAACGTAAATTTACGTAATTTAACGATGCCCGAAAGTCAGATTCGATCCGCGGCCTGGTGGTGCATGGCAGGTGGTGGTCAAGGCAGGGTGGCCCAGGGTGGGCAGGGTGGCCCAGTGGTTAAAGTTCAGAGTACCAAGATTGGCGCAGAGAGGTGCGGGTTCGATCCCTGCTCTGTGTGCCAGTTTCTGGTCAGAATCGGCAAGGAGGCGGGGCGGTTAATTAAGCACAGCAGAATTGTAGCAGTGAGTTGCGAGTTCGAGACCGCGAAATGCTGTGAATGTTCTGCGATGTTAAGAATCGGGGACAGGCCTACGGCCTAATAAACGCTGAAACCGCTATTATTATAAGACCGGAAGAGGACAAAGCCGAGTGGTGCACGGCTGATTGGTGTAGGTCCGGAGAGATCCAAGGCGTTCGATTCAGGGCTTCTTGGTGCACAAAATTGGTGTGCACGGCTGCGCTCCCCTCAAGACCCCACTCTTTTCATCCTCCTCTACCTCAATCTCCTGGCCTCCACACGTTTTGCAAATATCTCTTCCCACTCTATAGGGTTTAGCTACAGTTGTTCCCTCAGACAGACCCCACAATCATTGTTATCCACTCTTCGCTTGTTCTCTAATGCCCCACTTCGTTAATCTCAACTCCATCATTCAGAATCACTTCCATCATAGACTCTCGCTCACTCGGATACGCTCCTCATTCCATCAACAAGTGCTCAGCAGTTTCCTTCTAATCCTCATCACACATAAAACATTTATCTTCCCTTCTCTCATTACACCTGTATGTACATCCATTCACACTCAGCGCCCCTGCCCTCACACAAAACAGAAGGTCCCCAACTCTACTACCATTATACGTGCATTCATATTTCGGCATCGCATTCATCTGATACATTTTTAGAGTGTTTACCCTCCATTTCTTGCTTCCACACCTTCATCCCATAGGCTATTACTTGGTTATTTATTTCTCATTCCTAATCTCTTATATTCCACTCTATCCCAGCTGCTTCCCGTACTGTCACCACCCATTCGTCCTTTTCGGCGTACCCATGCATCATGCATACCACACTTACGTATCATTGCACGACATCCAAGTGCCCATTTGCTCACCTCTATGTTCTATCAATACATCTTTCGTGCCCAACGTTCATCATTCATTCGCTCCAGTCTCACTTTATACCTCAAAACTGATCTCATTCTTTTCTCTTTAAAGGTACTCAATCCCATGTTCCTTCTCAAGGCCTCCACGAGCAGTCCATCTGGGGGCTCCTAGTGCCAATCTCGTCACTCTATTCTGTACTATTTCTAGCTTATCTAGCTCACCATGATACACCATCACTATATGCTATCACTTCCAATCAATACATAATACCAGGAAATACTACACACTTCTCTCAATGCTTCAAATTTACTCGCTCTCACTTATAGAATAGAAGTGTCGGCACTGAAGAAAAAGGCCCATGGCCTGTTGCCGGTTCATGTACTTTTCGTGACTTGATTATGATGCACTTCCAAGTATGCCCAACCATTAATTCGCTTTCATTAAATTCTCGTCCTGACTATCTAACTACTGATACATATCTATTGACACGCAAAATATTGATTTTTCGTTGAATATTTTTTTTTCATGCGATGAACGGCTAATTTAGTTCTCTGCTATACTTTTACTGTGGATCCATTAATGATCGTCTAAAGAGCATTCTGAAGAAAAACACCGTACCAAAACACATCGTTAGATTTTGCTGGCGTTATGGAGTAATTGAAGTCAGTTTTTAATGGAATTCGCATCAAAAGTGGTTGGGAATTGACTTCTTCTGTATTAATGACTTTGATGCTCTCAATTTCTATATTTCGGTTATGCTTCAATCAGTATTTTTCCAATGTAATATTGATATATCAGCCATTTTTAGGCGTTTTACCAGACTAATAAATGCAAGTTATGCAACTTTTACTAGTCGACTAAAGTCTAGTAGGTAGGTACCTAGCTCCTACTAGTAGTAACGTGACTAACGTCGACACTCAACAGCTTGAGCTGAGTTGAGCCTTGCAACAGTAGAACTGCATAAGCTAACATGTCACATGTGTTCAGCTTACAGTAAAGACAAATGTTATTGTTGCTGTTTGACTGTTTTAGGGTAAAATTAGAGAAAGTTGTACTGTTGGAGAAAATGCATAAATCAAGACAGAATAAAAAAAGAATTTTAAAAATTAAATGTTGTTTTTAATATTCAAGAATAAAATTAGAAATTCATTGGACATGTGTAACATTGGAGACACCAGCCTCTTTAGAAGTATGGTCTTTAAAAAGTAATTTTTAAAGGCAAAGAAAAGTAAGTTTTAAAGGCACATTAATTTCTTCATCTAGGGTGAACGCGGTATATTCTGACACATTAAGGGGACCGTCATGCGCAAATAATAAATCATATACCTTTGGGCGGATCATTCTGAAATTCGGTATACACTATACATACCTAGGTATGTACCTAAAATGTAAAACAAAATTGTTTTTGTTCGTGTGAATTTTTCGAAATAAACGAAAGAAAACATGAAATTAATAGAAAACGAAGAAATAAAGGGGTACCGGTACTTTATAAATCTATCTCCTCCTACAGTATATATGCTACAAGGTTGAGACACATGTCCAGTGTGGAAATCCAGAGGGGTAATATATTAACTGGTAAACATGGCAAATTGGAAAGCAGGACCCAAAAATCTGGAACGTCCAGCACCAGTGTGGAAATCCAGAGGGGTAATATATTAACTGGTAAACATAGCAAATTGGAAAGCAGGACCCAAAAATCTGGAACGTCCAGCACACTTCCACTTTCACTCCATCATCATCACTGATGAGTCTCTGCAAGATGCCACAGCTGTTTCTTTAAAAAAAACTGCTTGCATCATCACAGTAACAAGAATCCAATCAACGCTCGAACGCGTCCAACGTAACAGTCACAAGAATCCAATCAATGCTTGAACGCGTCCAACNACACGCAAATGTATGACGTCACCATTTCAACCATCAATGAATGCATGGAACTAAAACAAAGCTTAATATAAAGGAAAAACTAGAGAAGTGACGGAATTACCTACGATGTCGGAATATACCGCGTTTACCCTAAAACTAGTTATTTGAGGTAACACGTGCATGCAACCTTGTAAATAAGTTCGTGGCTTGAGAATAGTTTTTTATTACTCAGTGTAAATTGCTTTTCATTACTCAGTGTAAATGGCGTTTCATTAAAAATTACCCGGCGACGCATCTTTAAAATGGCCGGTGACACTTTGGGCTTAAAAGTCCATATATTGGCGACGCTGCATCCACCCTCTGCATAGTGGCTAGCGTTCACGTGTTCAGTTTTTTCAATTTCGAATTTGTTCATGATGGAGGGGGATTTAAAGAAAAAAAAACAAAAATTCTCCCCCCCTCCCCCTTTTTCCAATATATAATCCAAACTATAATGAAATCGGAAAAACTATACACGCAGTTTTTAGAGCTATTCCTTACAAATCAAATGATATATCTCCCATTGCTGTAGCTTGAAACTGTAGGAGATAGGTTTTCCGTGACAATAAGTTGAACTTTTCAGGACGGCGCGACAAAGTTTCGTGCGCCTTGAAATAGGCACTCAATGTTGCATGGATACCAAACTACAGGCTTCTGTAGCTTAATCCACTCAAGGATGCTAGCAGCAACTTGTAGTGCACCTCTACGTACAAAGTTAGGAGGGTCTCAGGGTAACTGAGCTCAGATGCCAGGTACACCAATATATGTAGTCTTGCCGCTCTAATTTTCTTAGGTCTATTTAGTGAAGGAACTCCACCCCCCACCCCATTTAAAGCCCGGCCGTGTGCGTCAATATTGACGTACAAGGATCGCAGTGGTATCGTTGAAAAGCTTAGAATGTCAGCTTTAAGATGAAACTAAGCATGTAACTGCAGCACAACTCAAGTAGAAACTATATTCAAAGATTTCAGCAGCTAATTACTTTATATCTAATTAGTTAAAGAACTCTCCCACTCGCTTCCCTTTAAAGAGACGTCATGAATGTAAATATTGGCATACAGCGATGGCAGTGGTACCATTGGAAAGAGCAGAATTCCAGCTTTCAGATGAGCACAAAAACCAGAGAAGGCCAAAATTGAAAATTTTAGGCAAGACGGTTGGTCCCCTTAAGGACGCATCGAGAAATGAAAAACTATAAAAAAATAACCGTATGCGTTACTCAAGTTCTGTTTGCTTTACGTGACTCTCAAAACACCGTAGACTACACGCCAGCAACAATGAAACATCACTAAATGTTGCCATATTTATTTAAAAGGCTTTAGAATGCAAACCTTCCAAATCCCTATATTCCAACACTGTGGGTGAGGGTGACTATATTTGGCACGTGCTGAGACAGTGAGACATTCCGACCACGCTTCAAATTGCACTAATACGTAATTCTGACATCCACGTGTTCAAATTCTGATCGCTGTATGAGCTGTATTGGAATACGACACGGCTTTGAATTAGAACACTATTGAATATTGAGCACTACTTAATTAGGCTTTTAATTAACAGTTATTAAGCTTTTAATTAAGAAAATTTTAATTTTTGCACACAGCTTGGAATGAGCTGCGTGTGTCCAATTCAAGTTGACTCAGAATTAGTTTTTATGTGTCTAAATCTGTTTCTCAAATTAATCATCTATTAATTTATTTACCACTTGAAATCAGCAAATACAAGTATACTTAAAGGATTCCTAATATATTCACAGACATATTTAAAAGTCTCAAACCATAATATTCTTTCTACACAAACAGTTTATCACTATTTGGTAGAGCAAGGTCAACTGTCAACTTTGACACATTTTTCGATGATCTCATTGGGTGGCATGCCCCGTCTCTCTTTGGATCTCAACATTTTTCTGCTAGATGGCCCAAACCTAGTGTTTTGGCAGTAGTTTGATGCGCAAATGTATGACGTCACTATTTCAACCATCAACAAACGCATGGAACTAAAACAAAGCTTAATATAAAGGAAAAACTAGAGAGGTGTCGGAATTACCCATGATGTTGGAATATACCGGGTTTACCCTTCTCTAGTTGGTAAAGTCCAACTTTTTTCTGAAATATTGTGGCTCTAATATCATACAATTTTAGTAGGTTGGAAATCTCATGGCTCTAAGGTCATGTATTTTTGTTTGATCAAAAAATTGTGTTTGTATTTTACAAACATATCAGTTCATAAAAAAATTTTCAACTTCCCCAGTATTTCAACGCTCCTGCTAAAATATCCTCACACCGTCACAATAACGAATCAACCCATAATGTTTCATTGAACTTTTAAAGATTGCATAGTTGTGGTCACATCAGAGACAGAGTGGTTAGAGTGACCGTCAGACTGCATTATCACGTGTTAAGTTGCCATTAATGTAAAGACAAATGTTATTGTTGCTGTTTCTAGGATAAAATTAGAGATTTGGCTTAATATGTGCACAGGACTTTTTAAATGAGATCATGGCTCATAAGTGGCTCATCATGGTCCATGATGGTGGAGATATGGAATTCAGGGCTCAAAGAAATGAATTCATGGTTTGTAAATCCATAAAGCAATGTCTCAAAAATTGAAGTCAGGGTTCAGAGAGTACCATCAACCGGGGCTACTCGGGACAGTCCTCCGACACGGCGTAAAACTGTTTTAGCAGCAAAACTAATTGGAATATTGCAAAAGTAAATTTAGTGGCATAAACATCAGCATTTTTCCTATCTATGTAGTATAAAGGAAGTTCAAAAATACTACATTCACTAGCTTTGAAAAATTCCCGAGAAAAATGGTGAAAAATGATATTTTGAAAAGTTACTTCTGCTAAGGTCTGTAGTAAAAAAAATTACCTATTCACCATATTAAAAAAAATTTACTTACATAAAAGTTGCACCCAGGTGTCCGCTTGAAAACGTAATTGACAGATTTTGCCTATCTCATTCCAAAAAAAAATGGGGGTCATTTCGGCACAGCTGGGCTACTCAGGACACCCAAGGTTGTTGTAAATGCTCAATGGCATGTTCATGGATACCATAATATCACATCAATAATACAGTAATATCCCATCAATAATACCATACCTTCAACTGGGGTGACTTGGGCCCTGTTTTTGATTTTGTTTTGCAAACAAAAGTGGGGTCATAAAGGATGGCCAAAGTCACTCTGGCATTTATGACCTTGTTTACGACCCTGGCATTTATGACCTTGTTTATGACCCTGGCATTTATGACCTTGTTTACGACCCTGGTGTTTATGACCCTGGCCTTTAGGACCCAGCATGAATCAAAAACATGGTGGAAGTCACCCCAGTCAGTTGACCATAATTGATGTTTATGGTAATATCAAAGGAAAAACAAGTGAAAATCACAGAAAATGTCATTTATTCTACCTCTACATCATCTACAATGAAAGAGGAGGACTTCAGAGTACTGTTAGTAATGGATGAGTACACTCTGCATGCTTCAAATGTTTTAAAATGAAGTTTTATTCCAAGTGTCCCGAGTAGCCCCATTTGACAGGGCTACTCAGGACACTTTTTTTTGCTTCTGGCACCTTAGGAATAGCATATGAAATTTTTTGGAGAAACCATGTGATAGCCCTTGCAAAGAGTTTTGAAATGAGCCTAAACTTGTTCATGAAATGTTTCATGGTAAGAAGTTATGAATGAAAAATGTTCGAAATTGTCCAGAGTAGTCCCGGTTGACGGTAGATATTTTCCCCACTGGCATCTACTCCAGAAAGTTGAGATTGAAACCAATATCTTATGTATGATAATTTGGGTATCCATGATACTTTTCTGGTCTACCATAAAATGGGGTAACTTAGACAACTTTTTTTTAAATGATGCCATTTTTTACTAGCTAAATTAAACTTAAATCGAAACATGCAAAAACAGGTCTATACTCTAGGTTCCCTCATCATAAATTGCTGGCTCCTGCCTCTCAAAGTTTTTATGTAATTTCAAAAAAGTGATGGTCTTTGTTACCCCAGCTCTTGGGGTATCTTAGACTGGGTTGTAAAGTCAATTATATTTTTTGGTAAAATAACTCCAAATAACTCCAGGTTTTGGTGCATTGTAGTAGAACTGTACTAGTTACATATGCATATGACAAATTTGAGGAGAGTGTCGTAGTTTGCAAATGAGGGGCGCTGACCCCAATGGGGGAACTTAGACCACCTAATGTCAGCCATGAAGGGGTAATATTGACCGGCTTGGAAATTAAGCAAAAATTACCATATATAAGACTCTGTAGAGTCTAAAACATAAAGAAAAAACATAATAGGTGTATCAAACATGAAATATGGTAATTTTATGTATGAAATATGAAATATGGTAATATATATGGTAATTTTAAATTAATTTCCAAGCTGGTCTATGTTACCCTGTCAGGGCTGACATTAGGTGGTCTAAGTTCCCCCATTGGGGGGTGGTGCCCCCCATTTGCAAACTATGAAACTTTCCTAAAATTTGTTATTTGTATATGTAACTAGAAGAGTTCTACTATAGTGCATCAAAACCTGGAGTTATTTTACCAAAAAAATAAAAAAATTGGATGGGGTACTCTGACAGGCTTTAAATAATATTTTTTTTGTGGGTCACATTTTTAATTTTTTAACCTATTAGATATGCAAACTTTTTAAATCTTTCTATTGTGTTATGTAGCCTCAGTATTAGGCTTTTAATGCCCATTGACAAAATTTTTCTATGTCAAATAATTTTTGAGTTTTGAGGGTTTTTGTTAAAAAAACAAAAAGTGGTCTAAGTTACCCTGGGAGCCTTAAGTTACCCCATTTTACGGTATTCATGGGACTCAAATTCAGAAAGATTCTAAACAAATTTCCAGATATTGTAACACATAAGCATTGCTTAATCAATACTGAAACACAACATTCTAGAAAGATAAAACAGCCTTGTAGATGTAGTTATGGCAAGATATAAATTTTCCTGTTTATTTGCCACTACTATAGCTTTCCTTCCATTTTTGTAAGACATCCTATTCCAGCTTCTATTCCAAGTATACAGTTTGTAATGCAGCATGAATGTATGTATATTATGAATCAATACCCATAAGCTGTGGGCCACAGCAGCAAAAAGGGGCTCTAGTACTGTGGAAATTCACTTAATATTACTCTCTTATACGTTTCTCTGAGATTTAATAATTGCTTTTTCTCTGAAAGCAATGAGATAATTGACAATACTTCCAATTGCAGTACCGATAATTTAAATTATTAATTGTAGGCATTCAACAAAATAAATACGGTATCGATAATCATGGCAGAAAGTGCCACCTACACCTGTCGCAAGTGTCAGGTTGAGTTTAACACTAAGGCAGCAGCCACTGAACACTATGGTGGCAAATGGCATCAGTTTAACCTCATGAGGATATTGAAGGACCTCAGTCCTATCTCAGAGGATATGTACAACAAATCTGTATCACAGTCAGCATTCCTGTCCAAAGTAAGTATTTCTAGCTATTGTCTTGGCAATAAAAATATTGTGACCATATAGGTATTAAGTAGATATTCATGATTCTTTAGTTGTAATTTACAATTAATTCCCTTAGCCTTGTACTAATAAATTTGAGTATCACCATCTAATCTAAAGTAATTAATCAATTTTCTCTACCAATTCATCTTAGTGTATGTTCTTTTATAATTAATTGTGTGTGTTTTTTAGGGTAAAAATCAGACCAATGTCATCCCTTGCAAAGCTTGCAAGAAATCCTTCAACAGCCAGGGATCATTCGAGACACACCAGCGCTCCAAGAAACACAAGCAGAATCTTGTTAAAAAAGCTGCTGGTGAGTGCATAAATCTACCATCACTATTGATGAACGTGGTTAGATCTTTTAATTTTTAGCTTTCTAAATAATATTTTATCAGAGTCAAGGAGGTTTTGTTTGAGTAAATCTTTTTGCTCAGCAAGAATTTAAGAAAAATGGTGATTATTTGAAATACGTACCTACATAGTTGAAGTTTTTTCAAAAATGTTCACATCACATATATAGATGCTATCCTTTCTCTGGGTAAGTAACACTGTGGTCTTTTCTCATGGAAAAGTTATATATGTCTATGGCAACAAGTGATGATCTTTTATGACAGATGAGTATAAAGGGTCTAAAAAATTAGATGAGCTCTTCAAATTTTTGAATTTGGCCTTGTGATGGTTACCTTTTAATGTGGTTAGCTTGGGAAGGTGAGGAGAGGGTCAAAAAGATGGACAGCTTGAAAGACATCCACCTCTAGATGGCTATTACACAATGGGATACTGCAGTGATTCTCAGCTTGTTGTAATACCGTACCCCTTGGAGTGAATTATAATTTTTGGAGATAGTTAACAATTTTATATTTCATGTAATCAACATTTTTAATGTTGATGAGTGAAAGGCTTGTTTTGATGTGTAAAACTGAGTAACAAGATGTAAAATCTTTAATAGACATGAGTTATACTCATAATTCATCGGGTAAAGATTGGTAATAGATCTGTTAGGTGCAGAGATGAGTAGGGAGGAGTGTTGGTTTGTTTGAATGGCATAAGCAAGGATCTATAGACAGGCAACCTCCATAATGTTAGACATTGGGACCACTCTTATCTTGTTTTAAGTTAGTTTATGGCAGCTATCACAAAGCAGCCATTCTAGTCACAAGGCTGAATCATGGATGGATTTTAAGATTGCAGTGGCAGTGATGTGGACTAGTGACTACTAAGTTGAAGTGGAGTTATTCAAAATGGTGCATTTAATGCTTCTGTAGGTGTCAGTGATGTCCATCATGAGAAGACAAGGCTTATAGAATATGGTATGTGTTGAGGTTTGTTGGCAGTGGTCTTGGTAAAGGGTAAAATTGGGTAAAATTTTGGGTAAAAAGGATAAAATGAAATCTTAGAAGATGGCAAAAATGCTGATGTGGTTTCAAAGTTAGTGGGTTTTGTCAACTTGGCTTTAACCATTGCAGATTGAGGCTGAAGCTTGTATTTTTGATTAATGTGTGTTGGTGCTTGTAATGGTGATCAGACTTAGTTTGGATAACAATAATAAATTATAAATACTGATATATTTCCATATTTGAGCTCTCTTTCAATTGCAGAGAATGTGCGTCGCGTGAAGATCCAGCTTGAGAAGGATGCTCGCAAGCAGGCCCTTCTCAGTTATGCAATGGTGGTAACTTCATCTGATGATGTTGAAGGAGATATCAAAGAGGTGTGCATTTATTCTCAGCATATATACTTACCTACGGTATTGTTATACAGTTGTTAATATTTTCTTCAAATGTTATAATTAAAGAAGTGCTATTTATGAGTCCCAATCTTCTAGTTACTCCTTTCACATGATCTCATTATTGATTTACTGATGTATACATATATCTCTGATCCCCACATATCCTTTTTTCTAGCTCTCTTCAGCTGCTAAAAAAATGGAAAATGGATTTGTTACTCTTAAGGGGTGATGGTGATTTGCTCCAGTTCAGTACTCCTTTCATTGAACAATACCGTGCCTACACGGAGTTAATATTTTTATTCACATGGAGTTTATATTCCAGGGCTCCTACTACTGCCGCGCGTGCAAGGAAGCATTTGCTGCTCAGAAGGACTACTTGAAGCACGCCGAGACCCAGAAGCACAGCAACGCCCTCAAACTACTTAAGAGTGAGTTTTATTCTTAATCTTAATTCTGCCTAGATTTTTATATAGTCTGAGATTCATCTATATATATTTCCATTGAAAATTTTGAGATCAAGTTTCTGAATTCTGGAAGTTCTTATTTGTGAAATGCAGGTTGAGAATTTCTTTTATTGTGCTGCCCAGTTTGTATGGGTGAAGTGATTAATATTGCATGGATTATTGAATGATGGTGTGAAGAGTAGTAGTAAAGCTATAATACTTTTATTTTAAGTGAGAAACGTCTATTACTCGCAAGGAAATGTATTACAGCAGCTGGGTGACTAATGATGAAATTATAATGGAACTCTTATTGTGACTTGATTTACAAACTTAGTTCAAGAATATAGATAGTAGTTCCATTTGTGTTGCCAGTGACAACTAAACATGTTTGCAAATTGAAATGAGCCATAGCGCCATTTTAAATTTAAATTCCCATAAATTTAGTTTTAATCATGTTGAGTGCTCTACATTTTTTTTTGCTGCTTAACAGAATTAACATTCTGCTTAAGCTGTAGCGTTGAACATATCAGAGTATTTCTTGTATCCAGTGCACGTATAACAAATTGTTCAATTTTTTGCTAATGTTTTTTGTTTATTACCACGTTTTTCTTGACTTCATTTCATGTCCGTCTGTCATAAAAAATTCCAAACCTTAATTTAGAGCACTTCTAAACATCCTAGTAAGTTGTAGTAGTAACATCCGCCTAGTTTATGCTGCCTAACAATTCAAGATTTGATCATCAGAAATAATAATTTAAAATATAAAAAAAAAGAATTTTTTTGAAAAAAAAATTGTAAAGTAAAAAAACACTAAAAATTCACAGTTTGTAATCAAGTTTTTTTCTCGGACATCCACACTTGCCAAGCCTGGAAATTGATTTGAATGGCTAATGTATATAAAAAATATTTTAAAAACCACGTTTTTCTGGTTTTTACAAAACTAAAAATAGTGAAATAAAACAAATAAAAAAACTTTAAAAAAACACGTTTTCTTAGTTTTCTTAACGGAGAAAAAAGAAAAACATTTACTCTTACATAACATTTTACATAACTTAAATGTTATGTAAGAGTAAATGTTTTTCTTTTTTTCTCGTTAAGAAAACGTGGTTTTTAAAAGTTTGTTTTATTTGTTTTATTTTGATCTGTTCTCTATGGCGTTATACAGGGTCCTCCATATTTATGGCAACGGATGTTTGCTATATAAAAATAAATTGGTTTCTAGGAGACTTTTCTTTTATAATGAAGCTTAATATCTTCTATTAATCCATCTATTTTATATTGCAGAAGTATAAGGTGTCTAAATCAACTATTACTTATGGTAGTAGATAGAAATGTAATTGTAACCCTTCATGAAAAGGGCGAGAGTAATTCAGTCATTGCAAAAAAAGCTCCAAATTCATCGTGAAACTTTGTGGAAGGTTGTAAAAAAATTCAAGGAAACTGGTGAAACATGCAATCGACCTGGTCAAGGAAAAAACGAAGTATCAGAACAAAACAATTGGTCAAAAACTTGAGGGAGAAGTTGAGGAGAAACCCTCATCGCTCAGCTGCAAAATTGGCTGCAGAAGCAGGAGTCAGTCAGACATCAATGCATAGAGTCCTCAAAGATGACCTTAAAACCTCCCGTTACAAAATGCAAACAAGGCATGAACTAACAGACCGTCATGAACGAATGAGGCTCAAAAGATGCCAGCACATTCTGGAACTCGTTGAGGATGGCACGCTGCCCAACTTCGTGTTCAGTGATGAGACAAAATGACATTGAACAAAGCGTTAACCGTCAAATGACAGAGTTTGGAGTCTGGATGGATCTGTGGCAACCAGAACAGCAACACGACGTCAAAATCCCATGTCCGTGATGGTTTGGGCCGCGGTAACCGCCACTGGGAGGTCCCCACTCGTTTTTGTCCCCTCAAGAGTGAAATTGAACAGTCAGCGATACATTTTGGACATTTTGGAAGCTGTGTTGTTACCTTGGGCCTGTAAACACTTCAACGTCTCACCATGGAGTTTTCAACAAGATTCTGCCCCATCACATGGCTCAAACATGACCCAAAACTGGATTCAGGGTCACATCCCAGCGTTCATTAGCAAAAATGAATTGCCCTCAAGAAGCCCTGATTTGAATCCTCTCGACTTTTCTGTGTGGGCTATTTTAGAGAGTAGGGTCTGCAAAACACCTCATGATTCTTTGGATAGTTTGAAGTCTAAATTGACACGAGAATGGGACTTGATCCCGCAAGAAATGCTGCGTGTCTCCTGTGAAGCTTTCCGCGTAGATTGAAGTCCGTCATTAAAAATAAGAGTGGTCATATTGAATAAATTTGTCTGAGAATTGTTTAGGTAATTCTTGGCTACCAGCTCATAAAAAAAAATGCACTTGTTTGTTTCATTGAGAAATGACAAAAAACATGCGTTGCCATAAATGTGGCGGACCCTGTATACGTGTTACTTTTATTTCAGTAGAGGATATCGAGAGGCATGTGAGCGATAGTTCTCACGTGTGTATAATGTAGATAGATGGCTAAAACTCTTAAGAGTTTCGGCTAACCTCCCAATAGCATTTCAAACACAAAGATTTTGCTAGCTTGTTTATCATCCACGTTATTCAGTTCATTATTCAACTCGATTTCTATAAGAACTGAATTATCCATTTATATGTATATCCAGTTGCCGAGGACCGCAAGAAGGAGCTGGATGACCAAGACAAAGAGGATGCTGCTGCAACGGCCGCGGCTCAGGCGGAGGCTGATATGGAGGTAGATCTCTGTTGGTACTATTATGAATAAATTCACTGCTTCACTACTGCAATATTGGGACCATTTGTATGCCTTCTTACTCGGAAGGCAGTAGCGACGGTTTTTTTAATTCATTACATTAGTTCCCATGAGAATTCGAAAAGAAACCATTGGAATTAAATGAAAGTTTGCCGGGGGTTTCATCTGTGTTCAAAATGAGTTTTATAAACAATTTTTTAATTATTGTCTGATTATTGTACTCACATTGACATTTTCTATGATTGAGATTTTTTTCTCAAGGACAATTAATATTCTCTATTGCTGGTCATGCCCATATTTAATTTTACACATAATAAGTGAGCACTATGCCATGACAGGTGGATGACGAGGACTCGGATGGTTGGGAAGAGGTCGACGAGATGGAAGTAGGGGAGGATGGCTCCACGAAAATAGTGCCCACTGTTAACACGTGTTTGCTGTGTGGCAAAAGATCCAAGAAAGTGGAGGACAACTTGCAGCATATGGAGCGTCATCATCAGTTCAAGATCCCGCACCTGCAGTCCGCTGACCTCGACAGACTCATGCCGTATCTCTTGCAAAAGGTTGGAAATTGCAATTTTGAAGTAAATAAATTATCTTTACAGCAATCATTGGAATAAAAATTAAATGTTCCGACTTATCTCTTCTACTCAATCTGTTTTGTATAGGCAGGTTCCGCCGTACATTTACTTATGGTGCATTTGATCAAATGCAATTAAGAAGCTAAATGTGTACGAGTGCTTTCTTGCAATAATAATTTACATTAGGGCAATGTTTCACACAAGTTTGTCAACTTGTGTGAAACTTGTTGCTATTCACCCTGAGGTAATGTTTCACACAATATTTTGTTCAAGTTCCTTGTGATGTGAACAACTCAAATGTTACATATTTTTCAGGTCATTGTTGATCGGAAGTGTGTGGAGTGTAGCAAGAGCTTCCAGAGCGTGAAAGGCGTCAGGAAGCATATGCTAGACAAGCCTCATCTCTCCATTTATTTCGAAGGCGAATATGATGATTTCTTCGACCTAAAAAAGATATGTGAGTTTCATTAACTTCTATCGTGTCCGTTACTTATGTGATAAGTTAGTCTTTGAATTTGATATATTTGCCTCTAGATTATGATGTGCACAGAAGTGTTTTGGGAATGATAAGTTAACATTATCGTGATTCATATAAATTATAGATTATTTTCGCTAATTGTAGCTGTTTTCTAGGCGCTTCTGTTTGGTTTTGCGTTTTTTTAACTTGTGCAGTAATAGAATTTTTTTATATATGCCATAAACTTATTTCGTTTATTAATAATGCAGAAAATATGTCGGTGAAATTCACATTGTAATTTCTTGTTTAGTGGCTCCGCTGACTCTGCCGTACAAGCCTGCTGATGACGACAATTTCGTGCTGGCGTTGCCAGACGGGACGTTCTTGACTCACCGCGACCTGAGGACTTACTTCAAGCAGGACCTCAAGCTGCTGCCTACCACGCGGGGCCTCAAGAGGCTCACGGACGGCCGTAGGGCTGTGCCAGGCGTCTCTCATCTTGGCAGGTTTAGCAAGTCGAACTCTGAGACGAACTTCCTGGAGGTCCGCAAGGACGCTAAAAAGTGAGTACACATTTAAGTTTATTTATTTTATTTTTGGCTCATGAGTGGAGCTTTTTGTAATATTTTTTGACGAAGCCGGAAATACGGTTAAAATTAAGCATAACTTTGCTTTAAATTTAGAGAGAAATGAGGAAAAACTTTGTTTTCAACGACGCTATTAATTTGACTGTCGAACTTGTTTTACTTTTAGTGGTGCAATGCAGTTCTTGGCTGTGTTTTAGAACACAAAAATTTTGATAGTCATGGCGATCGTTTCTATCTCAGGTCCTGACTTGAGAATCGTGTGGTGATTTTTGCTTCTCATAGTCAATGTTTGAATTTAAGTCAAATTATTTGGTAAACTCGGATGCAATTTTGCCAATAATTGTAGCGGACAGGTGGGAATTGTGCATGTGAACAGAGGTTTAAAATTGGACACAATTCCATCCGAGTTGTGTTCCCGGTCTGACACTCAAAATGTTCCTAAGCCCTGTGTTCTAATAATTGAAGAAGACCTTCACAGCTTGCACAAATAACTTTCCTTACGCAATATACTACATTTTTTGTGCAACTCTGAAATTCCGCCCTCGTACTTTAGCCAATATCTTAAATGTAAGCAGACGACTTTTTCCCCAATAAACTACCTTTTTAATTTCCAATGGACTACCTATATTCACATGCCACTCTATAATTCAACCATGGTAGCCTATGTCATAAATGTAAGCAGACGACTAAACTAGCTCATTTGTACAGGCGAGCGCGCATGCTGAAGGAGGAGACGCGAGGACGCGCCAGGGAGCGCCTGCAGGTGGGCGTTAAAGCCAACAAACTGCAGCCGCACCTCCGACCCCAGGTTATCAACGCCGGGTAAACTGCGGCGTGTGGAGCTGCCGGGGAGGGAAGACTGAGCTACATGGAGCACGGGATAAATTTCACTGTAAATTTTTCATATGAAGACATCGATAGGACTGAAAAAGAATAATAGGTAGATTGCCTGACTGCTTTTTGGGTTGTGTTGGTGTGCAGTCCGTTAATTATTTCTCATTGAAGACTTTGAATCACGTACTTGTTCTATCCTCCTTCGATTGCTACTTGGCTGTCAGCTGTATTTGTACACATGAAGGCCTAATAATACTGAATATTTTTTACGATTTACCGGCAACTCTCCGAATATTAAGCAGAACCCACACGATTCTAACTTAATGCTTGAAAATTTGTTTCATTACTGAGTAAGGATTTCAAATTTTTCTTTCTCTTCGATCCTGCTGATTTCAGAACGTTCCTTCCCTGTTCCAAATGTGTTTTTTTTCCTCCTCCTAATCGAGTCTGTTGGCCATCTTCAACTTCTAGGACTTGGACATTGGGTAAACTCTTAACACACTAAGCAAGTGGTCAGTTCGTTACTGAATTGTATTTTCAAGTATGTAATAGGTTTTTCCCCCGAATGATTTTTTCAATTAGAGCGGTATATTGCGTCTTTCATTAATAATTGACCGTGAAATGATGAAACGAAATAGGGAACAGTCAGTCCACTATTCATCATCCGGCAACAGGAATGGCCTACTTCCATACATAAATTTTCGCTTTCGGACAAAATTTGATCAACATCCGCTCTTGTGCGGTGTAAATCCGAGACCTATTTTGGAAATGGCCAAGAGAAATCATTTTTCAAAACCGACAAATGGGTTTGGCTCCACTCGATTAAATGAGCTAATATTTTCAACAAAAGCATCATTGCAACTGAATAGTTGCAATGATGATCATTTATACTATACTTTCGACCATAATTAGTCATCAATCCCCAAGTGCTGTTAATCTAATGCCAGTAAATCATCTTCCGGCATTCACTTCACAGCGCCACAATATTTTAACCTGGGCAGCTGAATAAAATATTTGCTTTGAAAGTAATTACGCCATCAGGCTAAACGATATAAAGAAAACGACAACGCTGAACAGGAATCAAATTTAATGTTAATGAATTTCAAAGTTAATGCCAACAAAATGTAGCAGGATTACAAGCACTCCATTTATTGTAAATAGATATTATGTGACAAAAAGTTCTAAAACACAGTGCCACACTCGTGTTAGAAGCAAGCATACAGTAACAGTTTCACCGAATCAATGTTCCAAGTTTGCGCGGGTGTTAATTTAATTATTTCCTGTACAGAAAGCAATTTAAATACGTCTTTTGAATTGTCAACTCTGATCAACAGAAAATTGGAACCGGATGTGAGCAGCACCAAATTCTTTAAGATGAAAGTATGATAATATTGAAAAGCAACAACCTGGATGCATCAGTAAAATATACCGCAAACGAAACATGATATTAGGCACAGCCAAGCGGTCAACAAATGTAAAGATAATCACGTTTTCGCTGCACTTGGAATAAAACTTATATAGACATCACAGAACAATGATTTTTGCACAATTGATTGTTCAGGAGGGATCGATTGATCTTTGAAGAAACAAAAATTATTGAGTGAGTGATCAACTATAAAATGCGTTGAACAAATTTCACTCGAGTGATGACGCCACTATATTACGAATAACAGCAGCAACGTGCACTTAGATAAATAACAAATCATTGTCTAAAAGACGATGCACTTTTTTACCCATGACACAAGCAACTGGCGGACGTAGCACTGCTCAGCCCTTTTGCCTGGCGGGTCAGGGTGCTCCATTAAACAGTAAATGGATTAAAAGTGTACTTAGATTTGTAGACAGTCCCTTCGTTTCCCTCAGTGTGCATTTCCAGGTAAATTGCGGCGAAAGTTGCCGTCTATGGCGTGCAGCTGTTGGGCAGCAGCGCGTCAAACTTGCGACGCTACCATCACTTCCTTCTGCGAGCGCTGGCCCGCTGCACGTCAGGCACAGACAACAGAAGGCAGGGTTTAGTCTATGAATAAACTCTGCGGTACTTAGTATCATGGGTACGATGAATAAGCTGTGCGGTAGTAGGTATCATGGATATGACGAATAAACTCGGTAACACTAGGTATCATGAATATGATGAATAAACTCAGTGACACTAGGTATCATGGATATGACGAATAAACTCGGCAACACTAGGTATCATGAATATGATGAATAAACTCAGTGACACTAGGTATCATGGATATGACGAATAAACTCGGCAACACTAGGTATCATGAATATGATGAATAAACTCAGTGACACTAGGTATCATGGATATGACGAATAAACTCGGCGGCGCTAGGTATCATGGATATGATGAATAAACTCAGTGATACTAGGTATCATGTATATGATGAATAAACTCAGTGACACTAGGTATCGTGGATATGATGAGTAAACTGAGCGGCACTTGGTATCGTGGATCCGATGAATAAACTCGGCGGTATTTAATTTACAAATATCAAAAAGTATAAGCAGGCAATATCGATTTGGGGAAGCCTTGGCGTACAGAAGAATGACCAGGGGCATGGTTTTTAGAATACGGATGGGACAGAAGATGGTGTGGCAATATCAAGTGCTATGTGAACATGTAATATCAAGTCTGAAAACAGATTTCGAAAGTGTAAAACACCAGCACGTACTATGTAGACGTTGTCGGAATAAAGTATATAAAAATCTATCTCTCATTCGATATTAATTGAAGTCTTAGTGATTTGCTTACTCAAAACCTCTTCATGAGATATTAAACATAAAAGATCAGACGAGGTAGAAATTTATGATGTATAAAATTAGTGGCGAATGGCAATGAAATCTAGCTTAAAATTTAGCAGTATTTAGTCAGCTGCCCAACACAAATGCCAATAGTCAAACGCAAGGCACTTTGCACTGGACGGATGGAAGACCTATTGTGTGCGAAGCCCACAAATTGCACTTCAAATGTTTTATCACAGTCTGCTTCATGTGCTTTCACATGAAGATTTCCTCAATAACAGATCCGCTCCGGAACTTGTGCTTAACTAAATCTGATTCAACGACGCGGGTCTTCTTCCGAGCACAGCTTGCTTGATCACATTCCCGTTTATTGGAGCTGCTCGCTACCTCATCGTAACAAGTAACACCGACATGATTGTTTGCAGCAGGAGATTGCCGAACTTGTTCAGCCTGCAACAGAAAAGGGGGCTCTGCAGTTGGAGATTGCCAGAGCTGTTCAACCTCCAATGCAAATTGAGGTTCTGTCCGTGCACTAAACTTTTTGCAAGCAGTGATTCTTTCAGGTTCGACGGCTTCTTCGTTGGAGGTATAGAGGTTACTTGCTTGAGAAGTGTGGTTGTCTAAATTTTTTATGGTCTGCCCGGATGATTCAGCATCCATAAATAAATTGAAATTATGTGACTGATTACTAATTTTATTAGCTTGATTTCCAGCGTTTCGACAGTCCTGAAAAGAAGAAATTTTCTGATCCGAACGCAGGTGTGAATTTTCTTTTAACGGCATCAATTGACATACAATACGAGTTACTTTCGTGTCGCGGCTTTCGTCTAGAATGACGACGCTCTCATCGGTCGCTGGCTCCTCTGCACTGAGCTCAGTATCACATTCGTATTCATAAACCTCGCTACACACTGAAAATTCTGGGGCAACTTTCTCCTCTCGCTTGTCAACAGCTCTCTCTTTGGAAGAACTTTGGAGACCTTCTGAAGGTAGCACTGGAAATTTTTTGAGACCACTGGAGCTTTCCTCACCATTTGTCCTTTCATCATGAATTTGTATATTGTCGTTAGATTTGACGTGGTCGTCAAGAGCCGCATTTGTCCCAGATGAATGAAAATCTTCAGGACTCGATGCTTTCCTCCCGCCTTCTTGCCCGATACAGAGCGCCCAGGAGAGGCGATCGTCTAGGATGTCACTGGCGTTTGCTAGCGCGTGTCTGCTATCTTTTTGCACAAGCAAGTCATAATCATCTTCTCTTCGTGGCATTTCTATGCCTCGTGCTCGTCTCAACATTACATTTTTTGCAAGAATGTTTGCCACAACACTTGCCGGGCTATCCTCAACATCGTGGTTCTCATCAGCACTAGCTATACAAGAACTCAGACCTTTACTCATCGCTGTGCCAGAGAAAGTCTTGCAGAACGCTTGTCTCGTTATTCGCGCATTACTCACCTTTGGTGCATCGGTGACACGAGGCTTGATGTTGCTGAGAAGAGCCAGAGACGTTCCTTCTACGCTAGAATTGAACAAATCATCTTGGAAATCATTCATTGCAGTTTTCTTGTGCCTCTCTTCAGGCGTGCAATGATTCCCTCCATCGCTTAAATCTCCGTCACTAGCGTGATGAACAATTTTTCTCTTCTCAGCCGACCTCTTCCTCATGGCATCATTTTCCTCGTCAGTGTCGCACTGCGGTTCATCAACATCAGTGTCGCTGTCAAAGCCGTCATCGCTGATGCCCGTGATGCAGGCAGCTGCTTCTGTCAATTCGCCGCGACTGGAGGCCTGGATATTGGGTTGAAGCTTTGCCCTGTTTCCGGCACCGGAAGTTGACGCCTCTGGCACGCTGACACCTGAAGAACCAGGAGTTCCTGTGCACAAATATCATAGTTAATATTTACGTCTTGTAGGCTGATCATTACTCGTGGCTCATCCATTGGCTGACTAGTTACCAACCAGCTGGACAGAACTTTCAAATCTGTTAGGCAGGTATACTAGTTAAAATCGTAATAGGAATTTACAATAAAAGCAAAATTTTGAACTTTATAAACTTAATTATTGAATAGTTAAGAGGCACAATGCAGCTTTGATGGATCCCATCTAAAAAATTCATTAAGGATTTGATGGGATGAATGCAATGAGACTTTAAAAGCAAGCCTGTTATTCTATCCTGAATAATTTAAAATAGAATGTGAGTATACACTTTTGTCACATTTTGTTATTAAAAAAACAATCAAATGCATTTATTAAATTACACTTTTTTTCATACACTGCAACTAGAAATAACATCTCGACCATCACTAGTGATTTTTTTTTATTTTGGGCAGTAATCCATGGCATGTGATGAGTGATTAGAACAGGTGCCATATTTCAGAGCAGAGTTAAGAGTTCACACACTTGAATAGTATGGCTTTGCTTAGCAAATAAAAAAAAATTGTTGCTTATATTGAAAATTGTGCATGGCTCCTTTACTATCACTAGTCCATCAATAACTTAGTCTTTTCATAATTTCTATTTTCACCTCGAGCTGCAGAGAGCGCTTCTTCCAATTGTCTTATCTTAGCTTTTTTGGTGTTGAGGAGTGCACAAAACTTTGCATAATTTTGAGACTTGAACTCTTCTTTGGCTCGCACGCTCTCATCCGTTAAGGTAAGAGCTTTCTTCAATTCTGCAACACAACCAAACACACAGTCAACAATCTGCCGTCAATGCCTATAACATTTCCACAGCACTCAAGTCGCCTGCCTTCAATAGAAATTATCTATCTTATAAACAAAACTGAACCACATCTTTCTAGTGCAATCAAAATGGCTTTGGAGACATCATGCAGTTATTGCACCTTACAAAATGTATTTCTGACTAGTGTTATACATTTTTAAAGTAAGGAATGGCAAGGTACATGCAGTTTCTACTGAGTGGCCACTAATGCGCCATTAACAGTATAGTTAAAAATACAACAATACTTCTTTTGTCTTTGTATCACAAGCAACAAATGCTGAGCAAAATGTCCCTTGCTTCTTTTACAAATGATACAAAAATGAAAATCTGAAGGCAATTATGAAGAATAAATTCAGAAGCCTTTCAAATATCTTGCTCCTCAGCAACTGAATATAATTAAATAATTTCCAAAGCAAAAAAATGAGTGTTAAGCAACTACTGTTCACATAGATGAACCAGATCAAATAGTTCATAAAGCAACACAAAAAATAAATTTAACTGATACTAAGTTCAAAATACAGCTTTTATACAGTTCATGGTGAATTTTATTCAGGAAATTTCCAGAACAATCATTAAAATAATGACAAGAAATATCTTGTTATTTGTAAACTTCTGAGTTATTAACAGGTTTTTCATCGGCATATGAAATTATCAAGACATGAAAAGATAGTCCGAATGTAATAAGGCAAGATGCACTGGTTTTTTGAAGCAAGATCAACAAAATCTTCAAAACAGATTGCTTACCATTCTTCAACGCACAGTTAACTATACTTGAAAGGAAGTTACATGGAAAGAAATATGGACATCAATAAATAATGTACAAGCCTCACTCGTTCTTGGATACAGTATGAATAAAATAAACTACTAGCACACCTTCCTCAAGCCTGTTATTTGTCTCCTGCAGTATTTCATTTTGCAGTTGTGCTTCCAAGTGATTTTTTAGAGCCTCCTGTAAGACCAGCCAGACAGCTGTAGAATATTCTGCCTGAAAAATAAACAATGGTAATTCATTCAAAATTGCATACATTTCATTGGATAATTGGATTGTTTTCTTTGATATTTTTTCTAATGATAGAGAAATACAGTATTTAGTTTCAGAAAGAGAAATGGTTAATAGCTATTATTGGCATATGTACTATATTGCACAAAGATTTAGTTTGGAAAAAGTTCCAAGATTAGAAAATTGTGCAAAAATTCTAAGAATTAACTTTCAAATAATAAAAAAGAAATCAAGTTCCATGTAAACCATATGTATAGACATGACACAAGTCCATTGCAATAATAAATATTGTTGAACTCACTTCTTGTATTGGAATGACTCCTCTTTTACCATGAACTTGTTTTTCAGGAAAATACTTTTTCCATATCATGAAGTTTTTCTCCACCTCAAAGATGTGCTCTCTGCCAACATCATTGTCATCTGTGGCATTAATTTTTGTCTTCATCAAATGACTGCTGCATCCATTCTGCTTTTGAAGGGCAGTCAGCAACTGTTCCAAGTATACTTCAGGTGAAACTTCCAGTCTTTGTGACCAAGTCTTGACAAATGCACAAGTCTTGCTGACCTAATGAAACAGAAGTTTATGCTGTTAATTAATGGCTACCATTTCTCGTTGATTATTTTATTCATTTATGGCTTAGTTTTAGTAACATCTACATAATTAATTGTTTTTCTTACAGGCAGTCTATGCAAACGTTTTGACTGGTTGTCTTCTTGTCAAACAGTTCCCAGGTTTTTGGCAAAATGATTCAAAAAGTGAAATAAAATATCACAAATCATTAGTACAGTAATATTTATTGACAACATTTCATATTAAATTCATCTGCAGAAACATTATACTCTTCTACTTTGCATTATAGCTGCTAGATCAAAGACCAAAAAGTTTAAAATAAGATAGTACTCCTACATTTACTTCAATTACATGTGTCTCATATAAACAATCCTAATCATGTTTGGAGGCGAAAAGCTTAATGTAAATATACAATAATCTGTATTCTATGTCCAATATAAGTAGATATTAGGAGTTGAAATGATGCCAAAATTTTTAAAAACTATCATTCTACTAGATCAAATCCAGTTGTACTTAAATGGTTCATTATCATGTACAACTTGGTGGTCATACACAGTCCCTTGTAGCATCAGTTACGAACCAATTAGTACTGATACTCTGATATTCTAGATTTTAATATACATAGGTTGAATATGTCTCAATATGATTGTAGAAGGCCATGGTTGTCAAAAAAAATATTTCTACATGGATGGCTTTCTATATCAATACAGCTGGTGATGGAAGACCAGTGCGAACTACAATACTCTTCAATTGATTGATTGTAATGGATTAGGAATTAGTAATGGTACAAATGCTGACTTCTGATGAATAGGTACCTATATCTTACAAGATAAGTAAAAAGATTCCGATTGTAAATGAAAAGCTTTAGTTCGGCATCTGGAAAATATGTGTATATATTTACCGTCAACCGGGGCAACTCGGGACTGGCGGGGTAACTCAGGACAGTCCTCCGACACGGCGTAAAACTGTTATAGTAGCAAAACTAATTGGAATATTGCAAAACTAAAAATAGTGGCATAAACGTCGACATTTTTCCTATCTATGTGGTATAAAGGAAGTCAAAAAATACTACATTTACTAGCTTTGAAAAATTCCAGAAAAAAATGGTGAAAAATGCTATTTTGAAAAGTTACTTCTGCTAAGGTCTGGAGCAAAAAAAATATTCGCCGTATTAAAAAACTTTACTTGCATAAAAGTTGCACCCAGGTGTCGGCTTCATAATGTAAGTGACGGAATTTACCTATCTCATTCCAAAAAAAAATGGCAGCCATGTCCGCGCGGCGGGGCTACTCAGGCCACCCCCCCGGGGCTATTCGGGACACCCCCAAAAACGTGTTCACAGCATGACCTTGGTTAGCAAAGGCTCCAGTAAATAAGAATTCTCATTTAATAGTCAGAATTGTGCACCAGGCAACATAGAATGAAAAATACATTACCTAAATTATGATCTAAGTCTCCAAAAATATCATGCTTGTTTCTAAATGATCCCTTTATTTTCAGGTTTTCTATATCTTTTTCTCTTACAGAAAATTCAATAAAGCCTATTAAGATGGTGAGGCATTATAAACCCGCAGGGAAACTTGTACGAAGGTTATTGTATACAACTGCTGATATCAAGCTGGCAGTAGACAGTGTAATTGTACATGGTATATCCATTAGAGATGCATCGCAAATGCATGATGTGCCTCGAAATACGCTGCATAGATACGTTGAACAACGCAGGACTGCAGGGAATGCAACTCATGACTTTCTTCATATGGGGCGCCCAACATCACTTCTTGGGCATGAAGAACAGATCATCGCCCAAAACCTAGTTGTTTTGGCTGATTGGGGGTGCCCTCTGACCCATCTTGAGATACGAATGATTGTAAGGGACTTCTTGAATAAGAGTGGCAGGAAGGTCACCACCTTCAAAAACAATCTGCCTGGCATCGACTGGGTTAATAATTTTATTGCCCGATACAAGCACTTGCTCTCTACGAGAATGTGTCAGAATATCACAAAAAAAAAGGGCAGAGATCTCAACTGAAGTCATCAACAAGTTTTTTGACAACATTGCTCCTGTGCTGCAAGGCGTGCCTGACACGAATATCATAAACTACGATGAGACAAATTTCACCAACGACCCTGCGAAGTCCCAGATGATCTTCAGGCGAGGGATTAAATACCCTGAGAGGGTGATGAATTTCAGCGAGACCAGCTATTCAGTGATGTTTGCAGGCACTGCTGCAGGGGAGCTTCTTCCACCTTATGTAGTTTATAAAGGTATGAGATTGCAAGAGGCATGGACCGAAGGAGGCCCTCATGGCTGTCGCTACAATGTCAGTAAAAGTGGCTGGTTCGACGCTGACACATTTTATGATTGGTTTAAAACTCTTCTGCTGCCCTTCTGTAAGAATTTGGAAGGCCACAAAGTGTTAATTGGAGATAACCTCTCCTCTCATCTGCACCAGGATGTATTTCGACTTTGCAATGAAAACAACATCAGTTTCGTCTTTATTCCAGCCAACGCAACGCATCTTATGCAGCCACTGGATGTGGTTTTCTATGCGCCATTGAAAAGGAAATGGCGCGAGATCCTTACAAATTGGAAGAAAGCTTTTGGCAAGAACATTGCAACACTCCCAAAAGACTGGTTTCCACGCCTCCTCTCAAACCTCTTGCACTCGATCAACAATGAAGTCAAGCACAATATGAGCATGGGCTTTCAAGCCACAGGATTGTACCCACTTGACAGGGAGCGCGTGCTCAGGAAACTTTGCAGAGAAACCACACAAGAAGATATTGAAAATACAAGGAACTTCGTCTCACATGCTGTGCTGGAGAAACTCCTAGAAATCCGCTCACCACCCACTGAAGCCAATAATGCACCCAAACGAAGAAAGGCTATCACGCTTACTCCTGGAAAGTCCCATACTGGGCCAAGGGCCAGCACTTCAGGTTCAGCAACAACACAAATCCAGAAGAAGCAGGGAGCAAATGTGAGGAAAGCATTAAAGTTTGACAACTATTCAGATGATGAGAATGAGGTTGAATCAAATGATGGAACTGACCTTGCTGTTGCTCAAGACATGGCCGATCCTCAAGATGAGATGCAGGAACCTGACAAGGACATCTCTAAAATCATCGTTAATGAAGATGATTTTATCCTTGTTAGGTTCAAGTTAGATGGAAAGGTACAACGTGAGAAATTTTATGTTGCTTGCGTGAGAGAACAACCACAAGACAATGACTGCGATGTCATGGTTGAATTCCTAAAGAAGAGCAGTGATACAAAAAGGCTATCATTTGTCTACCCTGTTCAGCATGACATGGCTGCTGTTGAGCGAGAGAACATCAGGCTCAAACTAACCCTAATGAGCACAAACCGAGGGAAGCACGTTTTTACTAACATGATGCTCAGCACCTTGGCTGAGACCGGTAGCCTCGGTTAGGCATAAGTTAAGTGTAAACATTACTGTATGAAAAGGAAGTTTTTTTATTTATTTTGAAAGTTTGTGTTTTAAAATGGAAAAAATAGTTTTTGTTTTGGTTGTGAAAAAGGAATTTAAATGTATAGGAATAAAGGAAAATTGGGAACAAATTACAGAAAACATCTTCTAATTTACATCTACATCATCAACAAATGAAGAAGAGGACTTCAGAGTACTTTTTGTAATGGGTGAGTACATTTTGCATGCTGTAAGAGTTTTAAAATTAAGTTTTATTGCAAGTGTCCCGAGTAGCCCCGTCTACTCGGGACACTATTTTTTTGCTTCTGGCACCTTACGAATAGCATATGGAATTTTTTTGAAGATGCCATTCGATAGCCCTCGCAAAGAGCTATAAAATGAGCCTAAAGTTGTTTATGAAATGTTTCATCGTAAGAAGTTATTAACAAAAAATGCTCAAAACCATCCCGAGTAGCCCCGGTTGACGGTATATATATTATTGATAAGTATGGTTATTGTGCAACACATTACTTAACCCTTTCACGGGTAAGTTACCATATATGATCACTTGAAATCGCGTCACAAAAAGCCTCACCACGGCTTCCTGTTTGTTTTTGAGGCGTCCTTATAATGCCTCAGTCAATCACTAATTATCTGACCATCGTTCTATCTATAGCATCACCAGCTGCAAAGGCCACAAATTGAAATATGAGCATTTAAATGAAGGTTTTGACTCGGATAATGGAACTGACGCTCTTTCCGCATTTTCTTCAAAAGGTGGAAGTATCAATATATATATTTATTTATTTTGGCAACTTGATTAAATTTAATTAAATTTTTATGTTTCTAATTTTTCATTTGCATAAACTGAATTTTAATTATAAAGAAAAATGTTCACATTTATTGAATTCTTCAAGTGCGACTTAAACCTTCAATAGGCAAAATTTGCAAAAATTCATAGAAATAAATATATTGTATACCGTCAACCGGGGCTACTCGGGACAGATTTGAATGATTAGTTTTAAATAACAGTTAATAACTTCTTACGATGAAGCATTTCATAAACAAGTTTAGTCTCATTTTATAGCTGATTGGCAGGGCTATCGAATGGCGTTGTCAAAAAAATTCCATATGCTATTCGTAAGGTGCCAGACGCAAAATAGAGATTATCCCGAGTAGCCCCGTTGGTTGGGGCTACTCGGGACAACAGGAATAAAACTTCATTTCAAAACATTTGAAGCATGCAGAGCGTACTCATCCATTACTAACAGTACTCTGAAGTCCTCCTCTTTCATTGTAGATGATTTAGAGGTAGAATAAATGACATTTTCTGTGATTTTTACTTGTTTTTCCTTTATTGATATGATATTGCCATATACATTAATTACCGTATTATTGATGTGACATTATCGTATTATTGATGTGATATTATCGTATCCATGAACATGCCATTGAGCATTTACAACAACCTTGTCCATTGCAAGCTTCATATCAGCAGCCTGCTACTACAACAGTTTTACGCCGTGTCATAGGCCTGTCCCGAGTAGCCCCGCCTGTCCCGAGTAGCCCCGGTTGACGGTAATACTTCTTACTTTCTTGAAATGGTTTCTGAAACTTTAATTTCTGGATATTTCAATGCTTGCCCGCTAAAGGGTTAAGAGTTCCCAAAAATCGTGTTGCGTAATTGTTCGATCAAAATGTTACCATAAACTGGGGTAACTTTGACCACTTTTTTTTTTTCAAAATGCCATTTTTTTTACTAGATAAGTTAAACTTAAATTGAATCATGCAAAATACAGGTCTATACTCTAGCTTTACTCACCATTAATTGCTGGCTCCTGCCTCTCATAGTTTTGATGTAATTTAAAGAAAAGTGATGGTCTTTGTTACCCCAGCTCTTGGGGTTTCTTTGACCGGGTGGTAAAATCAATTTTATTTTTTGGTAAAATAATTCCAAATAACTCCATGCATTGTGGTAGAACTCTTCTAGTTACATATGCAAAAGAAAAATTTTAGGAAAGTGTCATAGTTTGCAAATGGGGGGTGCCGCCCCCAAATGGGCAAAATGTGACCATCTAATGGCAGCTGTGACGGGGTAACATTGACCAGTTTGGAAATTAAGTTAAAATTACCATATATAAGACTCTGTAGTCTGAAACATGAAGAAAAAAACATTAATAGGTGTATCAAACATAAAATATGTTATATAGGTACGTACGTACCTATGGTAATTTCAACTTAATTTCCAAGCCGGTCAATGTTACCCCATCACGGCTGCCATTAGGTGGTCAAAGTTACCCCATTGGGGGGTGGCGCCCCCCATTGGCAAACTATGACACTGTTCTAAAATTTGTCTTTTGCATATGTAACTAGAAGAGTTCTACTAGAAGAGTTTTGATAGAACTAGAAGAGTTCTATCAAAACCTGGAGTTATTTTACCAAAAAATTAAAAAATTGGAGGGGGTACTCCAACAGGCTTTAAATAATAGCTCTTTTTTGTGGGTCACATTTTTAATTTTTTAACCTATTACATATGCAAACTTTTTAAATCTTTCTATTGTGTTACATAGCCTCAGTATTAGGCCTTTGATGGCCATTGACAAAATTTTTCTATGTCGAATCGTTTTTGAGTTTTGGGGGTTTTTGTTAAAAAAACGAAAAGTGGTCAAAGTTACCCCGCCGGTCAAAGTTACCCCATTTTACGGTACTCATACTTTTGACAATTAGAGAGACATTTTTGGCATATTGTGCTACAAAATGTTGCACAATTTTAGTCTCGGAATGTACCAGTGTCACAAAATCTACCTATGATTAGTATTTGCTAATAGTGCAAAACAAAAAAAGATAAACGCTATTATGCAACATGTTAATTAATGAAAACCTGTTAGGTTAGGGTTCGAATTAGGGTTAGAGGTGTGAAAAATGATTTTTTTGACACTATTTTACAATTTTACTAAGGTTAGGTCCAGCTAGGAAAGGTTCTTTTACCTTAAATAATGAATTTAAAAACGTCAACTAATAATTGTCGAGGTATTACCAATATGTATACTACACACATATTCAACTTTAAACAATGTTATTCTACCCAAAATGACCACAACAATCAGCACAACTCTATTTTACCATATGTGTTGTTTATGGGTTTAAGGTGAAAAATAAGCTAGGTGTAACTTCATTATACCACAACCAACACTCAACAATTCTAAAAACTTCAAGACAATTAGTACACACCTTGCTAGTATAGGCCTTGTCTTGTAACACCAAAGTAATTTTAAAATCATCACTTGTTTTGTCAGTGAGTATGAAAATTTCTTCATTGTTTTTATCACAGGCAGTTTTGTTTCTGATGTGGGATAAAACCATGATATAAAACTTATACAACAGATATCTGAAAGAGTAAGAATTAATGGTCAGATTGGACTTAGTTGCTTCAAACAATGCAATAAAAAGTTGGATTATGGATAGATTCAGAAATATTTGGCATGGGTACCAACAAATGACAATGACATAAAAGCAGCAAATTAGCTGATGGCCACTCAACTTGCCACTTGTTAATGGAAATATACTGTTTACAATTAAAACTTTGCCACATATTCCAAAATACCATGTCTGGCAACTTGCCTGACATGGAAGAGACATGAAGCATACCTACCTTTCAACATGGAAATAGAGCTTTCCTACCATTTTTGGAATTGCAAGATTTTGGCTATATGAATTACCGTCACACTAATTGATACTAATCAAAATACATGATCAGGCCACGAAATTCCCAATGTCTTGAAATTTTGTCCCATTAGGGTTGCAAGAGTTTCATAACAAGTAAAAAAAATCCAATCCTAATGTAGAATATGTGATATTTGCTTGTACTTGATATGATATTTGCTGAATGCTACTAGAGCATTCTTGCCTTTTTGATGGCTGTAAAATTCTTGCTAGATTAATTATCTCCTGATTGTTAATAAAACTGCACAATCATGGCTGCAAGATTCAAAATTTATCAAAAATTGGTCACTCCGGAACTGCAAAATTTCATTAACAAGTTATAAGTAGGAAATGCTCTGGTGCAACAGCTTTCTCGTGGTGGAGCCGACTGGGTCATCTACCAATGTCCCAGCAAACCGTTGCGGAACCCCTCCCTGCCCTGTCCCACAGCGCAGGGTTTTCTCCACCGGAGCAGTCTCTCCCAGCCAGCCTGCTCTGGATCCTTCTTTTAATGGCCACAATAAATCCCAACCCCGGGCCACGAATCTGGATATGCGCAGTCTGAAATAGAACCATCAACAAAACGCAATATTCTATACGCTGCCGGACCTGCTACAAGTGGTACCACATGGATGCCTGCTTGCAAATCAACAACTACTTTCTTTGCAACAACTGCATAAGGCCACTTACCCCCTCTCCACCACCCGCCATCCAGGCACCCAGAGCTCGCCCCTCCACCCTGGCACCCACAGCCCAGCAAGCCAATCCATCTAACCATCCGAGCTCACCACCCTCCGGGACCTTAAGGATTCTCCAGTTTAACTGTAACGGACTACAGAACAAATCTGACAAAATCGAACTCTTTCTGGCCACCCACAGCATCCAAGTAGCAGCCATCCAAGAAACAAAACTATCTTCCAGCTCCAAAGACCCAAAATTTAACAACTTCGCCATCTACCATAAAGATCGGAGCATGGAATGAGGCGAAGGCCGGATGATGTTAATTCACAACAGTATTGCTTTCACAATTAAGCTGCTATCAGACCTTAACACAATCGAACAACAGGCAGTAACTATCAAGGCCACTAACACTGATCTAACAGCTGAGCATTTCAGTTAGGTCCTAATGAATACATGTACCTTGTTTCATTGAGCTGCATTCGTTTCTTTGGGTGATGTTCATTATTCATTGAATTTGAAGACATTCCTTGGAGACCGGCTGTAAAATTGTCCGAGACGTGAGCAGAGATGCGGACGGTAGTGTTACGTGAGAACGTAGCAGACAAAAAAAAAAAAAAATCTGAAAACGCCTGCAAACAGAAGGGCCATATTGGTATTAAATAGCTTCATTGCCATTTAGTTCAAAGTGGTAAAGTTTGGGACTTAAGACGTAAACATGTGTCCCAAAAGTATTGATGTGGTCATTTAAAAATGATAGTGATTATCAGTTAATATAGTCAAAACATCCATGATGTTAATAATAAAATATTGTCAGCCCTTCTAAGACAAGTCCTAACTTCATAACTAGTAATAACTAGGGTAAACGGGGTATATTCCGACATCGTGGGTAATTCCGTCACCTCTCTAGTTTTTCCTTTATATTAGGCTTTGTTTTAGTTCCATGCGTTTGTTGATGGTTGAAATGGTGACGTCATACATTTGTGCATCAAACTACTGCCAAAACACTAGGTCTTGGCCATCTAGCAGGAAACTTTGGATTGTTTCTTCCTTGAATTTAATCGTATCAGTAAAGAAAAAGGAAGAAAGCCGCCTTTGGCAGCTTTTCTACCATTGACCTTGAGTGGCGCCACAGCCAGTGTGGAATTCTAGAGGGATATTAAATTAACCAGTACACATAGCATATTGGAAAGCAGGACCTGAAAGCTTGGAAAGGCCAGGAACTTTCCACTTTCAGTCCATCATATTATATACATAACCTATCACTTTCCAGCTGTGATTGGTTGATTGGATTGTGATTTTAGCCCCCTTCCAGCTTTCCAGCTGTGATTGGTTAATGGAATTGTAATGTTGTCTGCTTTCTAGCTGTGATTGGTTGATGGGATGCTTTCAAGCTGTGATTGGTTGATGGAGATGCTTTCAAGCTGTGATTGGTTGTGCACATAAGCCCCGCCCCCAAATATGGTATATGTCTACAGTACTGGTTAACTAAATACTCAACTTGAACTTGATCATTACAAACAAAAAGCCTGTATAATTTTCAAAAAATCCATTAAATAAAAGAAAAATAGAAAATATCTATCAAACAATTTTACAACAAATCTGAGGTACTGTACAATTGAAACAGTTTGTCCACTTTTGATCCTCCTTTAAAGTCCTTTTCATTTATAGTCAGTCACCTCACTCACCTGGCACTTGGCAGAGCACTGTATCTAAGGAAAGCATTCCACCTTGGGTGGAAAGCTTTTTTATAAGTGAACTTCCATTTCTAGAATTACACCCTGGCCACAGCTATGTAGGCGCGGTCTGCATGCTCTCAATCGTAGCACTGTCCGCGTAATAAAGTTTGGGGAGGAGGTGGTCTCAGCACAGCCTAAAACTCCGAGCTCTAATTAGATTGTTTTCGTTCCTCAAACAAAAATAATTAGAGCAAACTCCGTTTTAGGCTGTTTGCTTTTCTACCAAATCGCCCTTTAGGGTCTGGGGAAGGAAACTTTCAGACTCCCATGAGAGGTAAAAGAAGCAATCGAGATATTTAAACCAAGGTTTACTCAATTAGTGGGGCAATGCAAATGTTAGATACAAAAGTGTAGGCACTAATTAATGACCGTTCTCCCTGCCACGAACTGTATTTTGGGAACCGATAACGTCCTCTGATAGCAACGGATGAATACGTTGGGCGGTTGGGGGTGCTCCAGAAGCCGTTGCGCATGATTTCCTCCATGGATACATTGCGCATCCGGGCGATGGAGTGGCTAGCCCGGCGGACGTCATGGCCCGATGGATTTCCTGGCAAGTCGCCGAAGGAGCGAAGGGTGTGAGCCAGCCAAAAGGAGCATCTCCCGGCGTTGAGTGGCTTATGAGACTTGGGCTCCAAGAAGACGTGGTTCCTGTGTTCTTATGAGTTCATTCGCTTGAGGTATTCCTTCAAGTGGTAAGCAGGGCATAACGCATGTTTCCCACCCAATGTAGGGAAAGAGATGGGTGGTGGACACCTGTCAGGCTGTCTACTGACTGGTTTTTGTAGATGAAGCCCGGTAGGACTGCGATCAATACGTCGGTGGGTGAGATGGAGCACCCTGATCTAGAAGTGTTAGCTAGCTCTGATGCTCGGTTTCCGGATGCCAGAGCTGTTAAGAAGAGACACTTAGTCAGAAGGTCCTCTGTTGTTATGCGCGGGAGGCGGAAGCATCTAGATTTGAACCTTTTGAAGATAGCATCGAGGGACCAGTCTTCTTCTTCTTTCTTTGCAGGGTGTCCACTTGGAGTGGACTTAAAGCAGCAGGTCTGCCAGATGGATGACCGTTGGGCCTGAGAGCTTATAGCTTGGGGTTTTCAGCTTCTTTGTATATGAAGTTAATTGCTGCCATTTAGTGAGGTTGGCTGATGTAAGCTCAGTGCAGGATCTGTCTCTTATACACATCTAGATGTGTATAAGAGACAGGTCTGACACTGACTCCTCCACCACCAAGCCATCAGAAGATGCTTCCCCGAGGACCCCAACACAAGCCCCTGCCGCTCCAAGCACCACAGGTGGGCCAAAACCAGACCCCGTAAGGCAACTAAGATCATCCATGTGGAACAGACAAAACAGAAGTTAGAAAACAAACAAACAAAAAAAAATAATAATAATAATAATAATAACAATAATAATAGAAATATATACATAATTATAATAATATTGAAAAAATACCTAGATGATCTACTTGCTAAATTAAAACATATATCAGCAGTAGCCATGCATTACCAATTCTATCATGCTTCCATATATACTGCTCTGCAAGGCGCTCATCTAAAGAATCGAGGGACCAGTCGATGTTTGGTTAAACTGATCCAATAAATACCGCGGCGGGGCAAGTTCCGCTAATTTATCGAGGAGCAAAGTCACATTTGAGGAAAGCATATGTTTTCAAACGTATATAATTAACGTGTAAAACATTCGTTATATAATAAAAGTAACCATATTACTCAAAACTATATATTTATATCCAAACTTTGCACACGGTTCAGTTCAACAGTTGGTTACATTAGTTAGCACCAGGTACTAACAGTGGCCCGTATGCTAAATAGGGCACTAGCACTACAAAGTAGCACTATGCACTACGAAGTGTCCTGTTGGTATGCTAAATACGTCACCGATACTAAGCACTTCGAAGTAGCTCTACAATGTTTAGTGTCGCTTAAGGTGCTTGTACACGGGGATAGTGCAGACGGCTAGTAAATCTGGCTAGTGTCGGTCGCTTGGTGACTATCCGGCTAGTAAGCCTGTACACATTAGTGCTAGTGCCCTATTTAGCATGCCAACCGTAGTGTTCCATGTCGCACTATGGCTTATAGTGCGTAGTGCTACTTCATAGTGCTAGTGCCCTATTTAGCATGCCAACCGTAGTGTTCCATGTCGCACTTGTACCGCACTACGGCTTGTAGTGCGTAGTGCTACTTCGTAGTGCTAGTGTCCCATTTAGCATACGGGCCAGTTTTGTAAAAACGACGACTGGCTATTTATTA